CTATTCCACTTATAAGTATTGCTTACTTGCAAATTAAAATGAATACATCAATTAAGATTTATACATTATCGTATTTTTCTTATGCATTACCGTAATGACACATAATACGTCATATCCCAAAATAAAATTCCAAAAAAAATTTCGCTTTAAAATCCTGTTAAAGATTAAAGAATAAAATTATACACGCAATAAATATAAATATATATATACAAAGGAACTAAAAAATCCTGTTTTAAAATAATTCATTTTTTATATTATCAAAAAATATAAAGATATTTAAATAAAATTAAGCAATAAAATCATAAAATATTATAAAATTTAGTCAATAATGGCAATCATTCTCAATATAATAATAAAATTAAAATTATTTAATTTCCGTTTTTAAAAGATTCAGGAAATCTATATATATATATATGTATAATATTTCATAAAATCTCAAATTATATATACGTAATATTCGAAATATTCAAACTATATAACAATACTATTCAAAATAGAACGGAACCAATTTTAAAAGCAATCAAAATACGATATATACACAAAAATTCTTAATATGTATACATGCATATTGTACATCTTCGAGTATATATGTATGTGAAAACATAAAATTCTTTAACAAATTTATTTTAAATTTGAAAACTTATCGAAAACCGACAATAATTTAAATCATTTAACCTAGTTCTTTTTGTAAAATTAATATTAAATATTTCAATCAAGAAAACATTATCACAAAAAGGAAAATGGAAAAAGCAAATTTTTAAAGAGTTTTTATATTTAAATGAATATTGCTATATTATACTATATGTATGCATATTGTATGTATATATATGTATGTATATTTATAGAAAACGCATTTAGTTTTTTTCTAATTTTTCAACATCCTTAACCACATATTACCACATATTAGTATTTTTCTACTTTATGTATACTTATATACTTTGTATACAAGCTGTTTCAAGTGATTTATGGAAATAGTATTATGAATTTAGTATCCCGTTATGAATTTAATACCGTAAAATCAATTATATAAAAATAATTAAGTTGTACATATGTTCAATGTAAATGTTTTAACAACAAAATTAAAAATTCAGACGCATTTTTTGAAAAAAAAATTTTCGGAAGTACTTACATGTTTATTTGTAAAATAAGTTAAATTTGTGTTAAATTAGCATTTAAATATTTGCCCTATGTATTACATTGAAAATTTTTGACACAATATTATTTTCGAATTTTGACAGAAATAGATATATTTTTCTAAAATTTATTGTATTGTTAAAAATTTAACGGTAATTACCTAAATGTATGTCGTATAACATCAATTAATCAAAAATTAAAATTATATTACTTAGTAAGTCAGGTTGACATTTGACCAGTATTTTCTTATTATACAAATTTTTTAATGCAGTATAGTAAAAATAATAAATTTTTAATTTAGTAAAATTCACAGGTCCACAAATTTTCGCTCCACAAATTCTACATTATTAATTTCCAATAAATTACATATACCGATATCTCACAGTTTCTCCAGCTAACTCTATATTTATCCTTGTTTTTTTTTTAAAATTTTATTTATTGATATTTCTTTTCTCTTTCTTTTACTATTATAACATTGCAATATAGATGTACATATATGTATAATTATAAATATATGAAATGTATATTAGCCAAATATTCGTTCTCATATGTTATCGCATCATATATGTATTTTATATATATATATAGATATGTATATACTTATAATATTGAATCAGAAATAAATTTGCATATAAGCAGTATAACAACCCGTAACTATATAACCTTGTCCTAAAAAAAAGGAAAAGAAAAAATATAAATATGTATGGATGTATGTATGTAAAAAAAAAAGAAAAATCAAATGGAATAAAATATTACATTTATTTTTTTTTTTTTCATTTCTTATTTTTCTTTTTGTCTTTATCCTTTTTGTGATAAACAATAGATTTCTAAAAATAGATTTAAAGGTTTTTAGCTTATAATATGACAAATACAAAAAGCTTGAAATAAAAAATATACAATGATTATTTTGAGAAATTTTTTTTCAATCCAATAAACAATTTATATATGAATTTAAAGAAATAATAAATATTTTGCTCAACAACTTTTTACTGCAAAATAAGAACCAAGGATATAGGGAAATTTCGTTTATTCTAACTGATTATTTAATAACCCTAATTATACCCAGTTAATAATTATATTGAGATATTGCGGTATTGAGGGTCCCAGAAGTAAAAAAATCACACAAATTTTTTTAAATTAAAATTTTCATATAATTTTTCTTAAAATTTCCTTAAAATTCTCATGAAATTTTGGTTATTATGAATTGTAATTTTCGTTTATTCTTATGAATATATCTTTATTTTAATTGTAGTTTTCAAAAATATGGGTCAGCTTATAGCTTGCCTCTTTTTAGAATTAAAAAAATCAAAATCTTCTACTTGACTTTAGAGTCTAGTAACATCAGTTTTACAGTTCATTGAATTAACTTAATTAAGGTGATTATCAGCCCGCCGTAATTTTTTCTTCATACTAAATATTAAAGGTTATTGATATTTATTGATTATATATTTGATATTTATGCAACCAGGGTTTGAATCCGAGGACCTTCGGTTAAAGGACCATTGCCATAACCATTACCACATTAGTCAGCTCAAAAAATGTTTTTCTCCAAAAACTACAAACAATTTATATAGTACTTCATTATATAGACATTAACAAAATCGCAATACAAAATTTATACGGAACACATTTTGTTTATTGGGTGAAATTCACAATATTTTCTATACTAAATATTATTGCATATGATATTGTCATCATAATAATGAATGAACGTTTCATTTTTTTTTTTTAAATGAATAGTTGAGACCTCACTCAATAAATTTTATATATATAATATATGTATGTATGTGAGATATTTTTATTTCATTTGACTTATATTTTTATATTTAATTCACTTGTTTTTTTTTCTGCTGTTTTATTCAATATATTATTGAATATTAAAATATAAAAATAATTAATTTTCATTGTTGTTATAAAATAGGAAAACTATTATGTTGTGTTATTTTACAATAAACGCGATAATGTGTTATCAACACTAATAAACGATCTAAACCATTGCGTTGTGCTAAGATCTCAGAGAAAAAGAATGACACTTCCTTTTTATTTATTCTAATTCTTTAAGAAATTGCTCAAGCGCATTAAGATTTTTCTCTTTATAATACCTCACATACTAAAATTTTGATTTGTGTAGAAACCCTCCGGGAACCTTAAAACGTTCCCTGTCCGCTAAGCCACATATGGTTCAGAAAACGTGCGCTAGATAAGCACTGATACGTTCCTGAGTCATATGTGCGTCAGGGGGTATATGAAATTTCTAAAGCAAATTATTCTGCACTGGACGTGCTGGTACGATAATAAAGTAAAGAAAACCGCCGGGCCATACGAAAAAATATTTTTATTTTATGCAGAAATCACAAATTATTATATATGGACCATATGTGTTTGAGGTAGAAATACCCTACATTAGTTTTTTTTTTTAATTATTATTATTAGTAAAGCTATCCTATGACTACAAAAAAACAAATTATTCAAAAAACTGTCGGTCAATTTTGCATTTTTGTATTGGGACAGGGAACGTGTTAGCGCTTCCCTTATGAGCGCGTATTACTTCCTCATAAATTTCTTCTTAAATTTTTTAAAATCACTTGAATATTAGGGCACAGAATAATATTTAACAAATTGTTTTTTTTTCACTAACACCTTTTTAAGAGTTTCGGGTCTCATCAGACTGATTTTTAAAAATCTCCCGGAACAAAAGTTTTACATCTCTCTGATACATTTCTAAAAATGTTCTGTATATGATCACATTTGTGAACTTTTAATTATTTTATGATTACATAAAATATTTAACCACATAATTCTTAACGACAAAATAGTTCTTTCAAAATAATGGTCATTATTCAGATAATTTTACATAAATATTAAATATAATTTCACAAATAAAATTTTATTAAATGATCAAGTTTATTATTATGACATAAAATATTTAAAATTTCATTTCATTTTAGATGAACCAAATCCAATTAATTTAAAAATACTAAAAATCTCATTCTATTAAAGTATATAAAAACAATTATATTTTCTGCATTTCTTTAATATTTCTCTTTAAATTCCTTACCAAAAATTTTACCATCACCATTTTATAATATATATGTGTATGTATTTAATGTTCTCGTTTATTGGAGTACTTTTATATGTTTCTGACCTTAAAACGTATTGATATTTTAAGATATTGTAAATGCTCGTTATTGCAATACATACATATTGTATAAATATGAATGAATATTCAATGAAAAATTCAGATTTTCTTTTCATCTTTTGGTATGCAATAAAAGGATATGCTATGTGAAAATTATTGAGATTTGAACTTAAACATAATAAAGTAAAAACAAAACCACATAATGATATTTCATATTGATTTGAAAAATCCTGAAGAGAATTGCTAAGTTCACTTTTATGAATCATAAAAATTGAGGCTTTAGTCGTAGAAACTTTGCTAATAACTATTTGCTGTTACTATTCCGAAAGGTTCTATTTTAATTTTTATTAAAAAGTTGCATTTAACAGAAAAAAGTCTTAAAAGCAGAAATTCCTTTTAAAAGTCTTTGTTTATTTGTTTGTATTAGAAGATAAGCAATTATCCACGATCAGTGACAAAAAACCATATTAACTTTTTCTATTAAAATCTTTAAAAAAAATATTGTTTAATAAATAGTTTCTCGATTTTGGGCAATATTGCACTATACACACGTCTAATGAGTTAGTCAAAAAATTGCGACAATTATTTGATGTAAAAATATGTGGCTTTATGAATTAATTTCCAAATAAAATAGCTTTAAATGAATTCTGCAAATTTAATTCAAATTACAAAATGTCATAAATTTCTAAATTAATAAATTTATTTTAATTTTTTTATTTATTTACAGTTGATAGTAGACATCTTAAGGAATCAATTGAACGTGCTGAATTTAGTTTAATTCTTGAATTATGGTTTGGTGAACAAGTATCTAATAATGGTTCTAGTTTATCATTAGCATCAACACGAACATTACAATTGAATTTTTATCCAGGAAGAGGTTTACATTATCATTTACCAGTTTTATTTGATTATTTTCATTTGGCAGCAATTAGTCTTGGAATTCATGCTAGTCTTGTAGCACTTCATCAACCATATATTAAGTAAGTAATAAAATTATTAATTAACTAAAAATAATATAGCAATTATATTTATATTACAGCTATAAATAAAAATTACAAGAAATTCTGCCTAGCTTCTGCAAAATATGATATATACTTAAACAAAACATTATTTCGGAGTATTCAGTGTAGTAATTATGAAAATTCATAATAATTATTACATATTATATACAAATATATACACAATTTCAATCACCATAATAATGTCAATTTAAATACAAATTAAACCAAAAAATAGAGCTCTGTGATTATACTGTACTTCATACGAAATTTTTTTTTAAATTAAATTTGATATTAATTTTTGACCTCTTCTAGAAGTTCTTGTGTATATTAGAATATTATCAAACCCAAATTATTCTCTGCTTCTTGAAATTTCTATCCTTGGCTATAGTACTTGGGAGTAATTTTAAATACTCCCCTAAAATTTCCTTTGATTTTTTGATGGATTCAAAAAAAAAAATAATCTTAAATATTAAAAAAAGACCTTGTAAATGAATTTATAAATTAAGTATTTTTTTTTGAAAAAATTTTAATATCAAGGACAATTTCCTCTTTTCCAGAAAATAAATATTAACGAATTAATGTATAAATGAAAATCTGAATTTTTTTGTGAAAATATAAAAATTTTATTTCTAAGTTTTCCAGACAGTTTCCATATTATATACATATAAACATTGGCCTATAATAATATTATTTAAATATAAAAATTTTTTAAAGAAATTGAAATAACAAAAAAATTTTCATTTTCATATATTGTCTTAGACTGAAAAATCTTAACTCAACTTTAAAAAATTTTCAGCTTTTTTCATTTATGCCAATTAGCGCAAAATTGTTCGTTCCGTGTCAGTGTCGTTTTTAATGTCATATTTACATTGAATAATAATAAAAATAAAAGAAAGAGCCATACAGAACCAAATTTTAAAAAAAAATTCATTTTGACAGAATTCCCAATTTTTTTCAAATTATTCAAATCATTTTGGTTTTTGGTCACGAATTCTCTATAATTTTAGAATTTAAAACGACGTATCTAATTTTTATGACTTTTGACATCTACAAAACTTATATTATTATACGATGTATATGGATAGTATTCTGTATTGTCAAAAATAAAGTTGTAAAACCCTATTTAAACAGTATTTAATTCCAAAACAAAATACAAGAACACTGCATTATCAATACAAAACAAAATTTTCTTTTTACATTTCGGAATACAAATTTTGATTTTTTGACATTGACAATTCTTTTTAAATTAACATTATATGTAACATTATATGTATTATTTTAATATCAGTCTCCTTAAAATTTCTAGCATATTGCCAATTTTCTCAATTATCGTCAAAATTTTATAAAAAGCATTAAGAATGTTTTGAATATACGATTTGCTTTTCTTTGTGTTTTGAAAACACATTTTATACAATTCAAAATGCGTAATATTCTTCAATTTTTCCTAAAATACAATGTGATGATTTGTCAAAGTTTGCAGAGTACTGCCGTATTAATTACAAAACGGAATACTTCCATACTTTCACCCACAAATAAATTGCAATGATCTTTAAAATTTAAATTAAAACTATTTAAATTAAATATAGAATAAATTTATTACAATAATCCTTATAATTTTATATTAAAAAAAATTCATTTAAAAACTTAACACTTTGCTTGCCTCCCTATAAAAGCTTTGATCTCCAATATTAAGATATATTCACTTTAAAATGACTCTTTTTAAAATAAATTTGATTGATTGTGATTAATGATATTAAGCATATGCATGAAATAATTATAAATCCTCAATATCTTTCTTTGCATATGCTTTATATTGCACTAAAAATAACATTTGCTGAGTGTTTTGAGCTTTTTTACAACATTTTAATTTTTTTTTTTTTGATTCCCAACTCATTCAACTTTATGTGTTTTATTATCCATTTTTATTTTTGAATTAATAATCACACAAGATTATTTAATAATTGCATAAATTAATAATAAATATATTACTATACAAAAAAACAAACTAATTAATTATTTTTTCTTTCTATCTTTCTCTATTTTCTGATCTTTTTTTTTTGTTTAATTTCTTCTTGCATGGCATCGTTAAACCTCTTTTGCAATCATGGTGGAAATATTTAATTAAAACTTGATTTCTCTATATAAAAATTTACATTAACGCTATTAATTCTGTATATGTATGTTAAACCGAAAACAAATTGTTAACAATGTGCCTTTTATGTAATTTAAATTAAAAATCAAATTTTTTTCATTAACGAAAAATAAATATTAAGGAAAACCGTTTTAAATTTTATAAAAAGTTGGTAAGCCTGTAGTGATATTTTTAATGAAAAACTAATAACACCAAATACTATTAATTTTGTAGCAATAGTTTGTGAGTTATTCAGCACATTTCATATTTATTTTTAAACTTTGACTTCGAAATTGTAATAATAGGTTATTATTAAACATTTCAGCAATTGAAACCCACCAGCTGAATTGTGTTTTAAAACCACATTACAACAATTTTGAAGTAAGAGTTTTTTTCAAACTTTAAAGTAGCAAAATAGTAATAAATTTCTTTTGACAAGTTTTATATGCATAATTAATGTCATATCAGTTTTATATTTATAGAAAAAAAATAAACACATTGCACATAAAATTAAATAGTATAAAATCAATTAATGGTAAATTTAATAAAAATAATTAATTTAAAATCATAATTTCTATAAAAATAATGTAAATTGTTATTATTATTTCTGTATGCGTAGAAATTTTTACTTTAATAATTGATTGATTGGATAAAACAGTCGCGCGTTAAGAAAAACATTCATATAGTCGATATCATGTCGCTTTACTTTATTTTATTGCACGAAAACTAAATCGTTGTTTTCGGTTCAGTTTTCAATTGCCTTCGAATTTAATTTACCACTAATGAACCGAATTTGTCTAAGTATATTCCTGATACTCGGCTCAGATATGTCGCCCAATCTTGCAATCTTTGTTCAGCACGACAAGGTTTGTGTCTTAGGAGAAATAATATTAAATATTACACGACTTACTCTGTCAATTGAGACTTACATATATTGTTATATGTAAATCTCAAATGTCTTGCAGTTAATCTCTTGCATTTTACATTCTTTTTATTTTCAATTTTTAAAACTCATAATATTATTCATAAAAAAGTAATTGTAAAATAAGTAAAATAAATTGGCACTCAAAAAAATTTACATTTAAGCAATCTAAGTAGACTTTTTATATTCAACAAATTTAATTTATTTTAATTGCAAAACTCAATCTACGTAAACACATTTGAAATTTTTTTATAAATCATAACTAGCATACAAAATTCAAAAAGCAATTTTTAATTCATACTTACATAATTACTTTATTTTTCATAATAATAATTTACTTTAGTATTTTGTGAATAGATTCAAAATGAAATGAATTTAAATCTAAAACTAACACTTTGAATATTTTGATTCAATTAAATTGAAATTTTAAAACATTTTAAACTTACTACTCGTATAAAGTCTTACCGTAAAATTTTTTTCTTATACATACATATTTAAACTCCATTAATAAATTTTTAATTTATTTTAGTGCCCCACGAACATCGAAACCATGGCTTAGTGGTGGAAAATTAAGTTGTCGTGGTAGTACATCCCCAGGTCCTTTAGAAGCTGTATTCTTTGGTCCAAATATCGCTGGAACAACGAAATGTAGCGGTGGTCCAAATAGCCGTTTGCTACAAGCTCGCAATATTCATCGAGAAATTTGTGCCTTGCTTTTGGGTGTTGTTGAATCTTTAAAATTAACACTGAATGAATTCAGTACAGTTTTACCTCCACAATGGAATAATATAATTGGATCTCCTGTTTACAAAACTAATGACACATCAGAAAGGTTAAAGAAATTGTCAGATCAAGCAAAGGTAAATAACCAAAAAAATTATTTTTTTCTTAAATTAAAACTATTAAATCTTTGGTCAAATGCATTAATAAGTTTATTTTATGAAAATTATTTTAATTTATAGCTCCACGATAGTGAAGATGATTTTGCGATTCGTGCTAATTCTGATATTGCTCAATTATGTGCTGAAAGTATAATGTATTGGCGGCGTATCGTAGCAGTATCAACACAACCATGCATACATTCTCTATTAGCAAAAAAACATCATATATTACGAGTACGTCGTTTTGCCGAGGGTTTTTTCGTTATGGAAAATCCTCGCCATTCTGCTGCCGGTTGTTACGATAACAATTATCAAAATTATGTTGCTGTTTGTGAAATGGCAAGACGTAGTAAATATATGCCATCAATACCACCCCTACCAGTTCATTGTACACCATTAGATGGCGATGCAAATTCACTACCATTAATTTTTGAAGACAGATATCAAGATCCACCCAAATATTCACGTCGCCGTACTGGTAGTGACCCACATTTAAATAATGGCCATGATACAATAACGTCTTTATCAAAATCTAATAACAATAATAATACCAATACAACACCTGTAAGTAGCGCAAAGACTTTATCAGAAAAAATAAATCAATCGGTGCCAACAATCAATTCTACTAGAATAAATTCTGCTTCTGTACCTACTTCTGGAATTACAGTGAGTTATATTGGCATGAATGGTAACGGAACAACGCCAACTACAGAACAGCAACAGCAACGACTAAAAGAATGTTCCTGTGGAATTAATTTCGAATATCAAAAACCTAATAATTATTTAGGTGTCATGACTCCACGATTTGCATTGGGTGGTGATATATTACAAGCAAGTTTAACTATAACACCAGCCGCAGCATCCATATCAACAATGAATTGTGTTGGTATGAGGCAAAAAACATTGTCTAGATATTCAGTATCTGTTGTAGAAAATGGTAATAATAATTTGTGTCATGGTGAATGCAGAAATTTATCAGAATGTTGTACAGCAGAAAATCAAAACGAATTTTATACAATTGGTGGTAATAGTAATTCTTTTCCTACACGACACAGCAAATCTCTGGACCAACTAGATGGTGGAGTTGCTGAAAGTACAGTTAAAAGTACTGTTGAGTCGGATGATCGAATCAACAAACGAGTAAACTACAACACATCAAACGGTCTAACTGGAGTTCATAGCACAACTTCCCTTACAAGATATCAACAACAGGCAACACAACGTTCACAAATCCCATTAAACACAGTGCAAAGTCATGGTAATTTAAGCCATATTAGCAAATATCCAGCAACTGCCACTCCACAAAATACTTTGAATCGTGAATATAAGGCAAAATTACAAGCAGAAGACTTATTGAAAAACATAAACGAATTTAGGGAGAAATATAAAAATCCAGGAGATCCAACAAAACGTATTCAACAATTTTTGAATCGTGAACCATTATTTTCGAATGGATACAATATGGAATCTTGTGGAATGTATCGACGGGATGATATGGGCGGAACTTTGAACCGTATTATAGATGAAAATCGTAAATTAGGAAAATATGATTATTTACATGAAATAAAAATGCTTAACCAGCCTCGGCATGGGAATAATACGAATAATAAAACTCATTGTGCGTACTATAATTCTTTACCAAAAACAACAGGATCCGGAGTACCACCACGTAATTCTTATCCTCCTATAAGGAGTAAAAAAATAATGAACAACAATAATCATAATATTAATAACAACAATATTTTAAATGGAATTGAAAACACAAATAAATTTCCACAAAATTTTGATTCGCATCAAGAAAACCCCATACCAAGAAGCAATTCATCTTTTACGTTGCAAAACAGTCATCGGCCTAACCCGTGCTCGAATTCTCAAACTATTCCAAGATCAGTTGAAATCGCTCGTGTTAGAATGTCTGATTTAAAAGAAATGCTTAGAAATGGAACGCTTGGTAAAGATTCCAGCAGTTCCGAAAGTGATATTCCATCAAAAGTACGCAAAGGAAAAGAACAACGAATTTTATCTTCAGCGAGTGTTCCCTTTAAATTAGAATCTCTTGATCAATCAACACAAAATTTTAATTTGAACAGTAACCAAAGTGATCCTAATTCAGGTTTCAGTGAAAGTTTACCAAATTTAGCACCACCTCCACAATTTGATACATCGCCAATACATCGACCAAAAACAAGTAGTAACAGCAATTCGACGTCATCGATGAGTGAACAAAGTGGATGGGTTTCGAGCCGCAAAAGCTCTGGTCCTTCAAGCCCTGAAACTTTACAAGACGAACAGTATGCAAGTCAAAATAGAATTTTGAATGGGGAGCAATTAAGACGAAAACTACAAAAATTATTTGATGAACAAGAAGCAAAAAAGAATCGATTACCACCTAAATCTAGTAATAAACATCAAACCAAAAATGAATCGTCTCATAAAAAAACTTCAACAGTAACAATAAAACCATCAGTTACAGCGAAATCAAATGAGCGCAATGATATTTCGAAAGAATTCAAGATGAAATCTAAACCAGAATGGATTAATATTCCTCCGATATCCGACAGGAAACTCTACAATTTGGGCGCAATAGAAAGTGCGCCAGCAAATTCATCTGACAAGGCTTTTCATGCATCAATTAATGTAACTTCTAAAATTGCGGACAATTTAAAACAATCTGAGAAATCTAAATCAGAATTTGACATTACCAGTATTAATGATAATGAAAATCCTTTTGCAAATGTAAGAGTACCACCACCAAAACAATTTCAAGATACTCTTTTACCACCCGATGAATTCCGTGACCCTCCTTCAGGTAACTCACCTTCCCCAGATAAAGAGGACCCTTTATTAGAAAAGTTAATTGAATCCGAAAAACTTAAATCTAAATCCAATTCATTGAAAGATAAATATAGAAGTCAAAATTTAGAAAAATCCTTTGACTATAATATAAAAAGAAATTCGGAGCCCAATTTTAAGAAGCAGGAACATGCAGTTAACTTTAAAAAGGATGACCATATTTCTCACAGAAAAGAAGATATTAATCTAAATAAAAAAGACGAAAATTTTTCCAAAAAAACAGAAGATCACAAAATTTTACACCACGGAAAGGAAAATCAGGTGTACAAAATCGATGATCATAAACATAATAAAAAGGATGAATTATTGATGCATAAGCAGCACAAAAGAGAAGATAATTTATACAAAAAAGAACAGGAGCAAAATTGCAACAATACAAAAAAAGAAGATTTTCAATTTTATATTAAAGATATACCCAATTTTCCAGAGTATAGAAATGATGATCATATTCCAACGAAAAAAGAAGAACAACAATACCATCATCATCATCAGCAACAACATCAACAGCAACAACATCAAAAGCAACAACAAACTCAAATAAGAAAAGAAATAACCCCGACAACACCTGCTCGTAAACCAGTTGGTGCTATAGATAATCCTGTTTATCACATTTATGAAGCCCTAAAACCAAATCAAACTCAAATTGCTCCAAATAACACTAATAGTTCAAATTCTCATCCAAGACCATTTTTAAAATCTCAAAGTAGCACAGAATTAACTGTTAGCCTAGACAATGAATTAATTGGCGGTGGAATTAGTTGCCAAAGCGGTTACAACAGTCAAAGTAGTTTAAATGGGCAAAGTTTAAGTGGTGGGCAGAGTAGTAGTCATTATAACAGCGGTGGTGGAAATAATGGGGGCCAAAACTCGAATGGTTTCAGTGATCGGGCAGAATTAGACGAAGAAGATGATAGCGGACGTGGCACTGAAGATTATCGTATAATTGAACGCAGTGATAGTCAAAAGGCAAACGGAAAAAATTCAAAACGTAAAAATCAACAGCAACCGGAATCTGCATTTTCTTTAATGGAATTTGAAAAATATCGTGAAGAATTCCGAAAACAAATTAAATACAATGGTGCTATTTATTCTGATTTTCCAAAATTAGCATCTGATATGCCATATTTTCATATTAGTGATGAGTACAGAGCATTTTCACCAGCAGGCATGCATTTAATTATATGTGTTCATGGACTAGATGGAAATTCTGCTGATTTAAGATTAGTTCGAACTTATCTTGAATTGGGTTTGCCAGGAGCTAATTTAGAATTTATAATGTCAGAAAGAAATCAAGGTGATACATTTTCAGACTTCGATACAATGACTGACAGGTAAATTTTATGATATTTTACTAAATATTCGTTTAATATTAATTTGAAAATTTCTTATTAACAGACTAGTGGCAGAAATTTTATATCACATCGAAACTTGTGGCCTAAATCCTACAAAAATATCATTTGTTGCACATTCTTTAGGTACAATAATTGTAAGATCAGCATTAGCTAGACCACAAATGAGGCCACTTTTACCAAGACTTCATACATTTTTGTCATTATCAGGTCCACATCTTGGTACATTATATAATTCAAGCGGCCTAGTAAATATGGGTAAGTATTTTTTTTTTTAATTTTATAAAACTGCATATTAAAAATGCTTTTTTTATAAGGTATGTGGTTTATGCAAAAATGGAAAAAATCTGGCAGTTTATTACAATTATGTTTAAGGGATTCACCTGATTTAAGGCAAAGTTTCTTGTATCGTTTAAGTCAACGAAGTACACTACATCATTTTAAAAATGTGTTATTATGTGGTTCAAGTCAAGATCGTTATGTACCACCACACTCAGCTAGATTAGAATTATGTAAGGCCGCTATACGGGATAACTCGAATTTAGGAAGTGTATACAGGTATTGTTTTCTTTATAAAATTTTATTCATTTCCATAATAAAATTGTAATAATTAAATAGGGAAATGGTTCATAATATAATGGCTCCAATGTTAGCTAGACCTGAATTAACTTTAGCCAGATTTGATGTTCATCATGCACTACCGCATACAGCAAATTCATTGATTGGTCGTGCAGCTCATATAGCGGTTTTGGACTCAGAATTATTCATTGAGAAATTTTTATTAGTTGCCGGCTTAAAATATTTCAGCTAGCTGAAATTAACCACATCTATCTTTACTTTTTAAAAAGTACATAAATATTAAAAAAAAAATTTATGTAAAAAAATTTTCCTATTATAGTCAAAATGTAAAAAAATAAAAGTAAAAAAATACTTAAAAATTTTATAAAAAATTTTAGAGGAACAATTAATTTTTTGATCATTGTGTCAAATTCAAAAATAGATTATTTATTAGGAAAAAAAAAATATTTAAATTTTTAAATATTTTATTTTTTAATTTCAGTTGGTTGAATTCTAAATAGTTTTAAAAGAATGTGTTTTGCTCACTGCCTTATAATTGCTACACTAAAATCATAATCATTTTTATTATAACAAAATTATTTAGAAGTTCAATGCGGATAACATGAATTATACGTTATTACTAATTATATTTTTTCACTGCCAAATAAAAATTATTCAAATTTCTATAATTATTATTTAAATCTTTTACAAGGTATTTTAAATTACGATACAAATGTGAAATAAAAGTTATTTTGTAGTCCTCAAAAATGTGTCATGGTTCCAGTTTTATAATAATTTTCTTATTGAAATTATTTAATTACGTACGAGTAGCAGAGACCGCCAAGAAATATTCAAATTTGTATGTGCTTCAAAAAATATCAAGGAAAAAACTACTTAGAGTTTTAGAAAATACAATAAAAAAAATTAGTAGAAAAAACCATTAACAGAATAAACTGTAAGCAATATCAATGAAGAAATTGCGATGAAATTTCCGTTTCCAATCCGTTTAATGAACATTAAGGTAATCAACATTATGACTTGTATGCACACTAAGAGGAACTAAAAGCAGATCATATAATCATTTTACATTTGTAACGTAATTCATTGTTGAAAAATAACAGACCAATTTATATTTGTAATAATATTTCATTTAAGATTTAATTCAATACACTTTTTATACATAAATATTCGTGAATAATACTTAAAAATATCTAATGGCGACCACTAATTAATTTAATACAAAATATATACTATTAAAAATTTAAACTATAAAATACCAAAATAATATTGTTGGACTTAAAATTAAAAATGCTTTTAATTGATGTTTTAAAAATTCCAATTAATATTTTAATTACTATTATAATTTTTTCAAAGGTCATTTTCAAATTTTATTATACATACGCATATAGATTAAACACATAGATTTCATTTTGGTACTTTTCTCAGATTATGTTATTAGATGTTCCTTATGAGATTCATTTTTCTTTTGTGTAAGATATTTTGGCTATGTAACCCAATAAAAGTAAACAATATTTATCTATTACATTACTACGTATATGAGCGTATACGAATTTCAAAATCATCTATTATTATAAATGGAAAATCACAATAAAAATTTAAAAAACAAATCTCATATTATAACGAAAAAAAAATATTAAATTGAATAGTTTAAATTCATAATGTATTCAATAATCTTCAATAGTCTTGAAGCATTCATCACTTAAATGAATGGTGATTGAATATTCAAAAATATTGAAGTTTTCAATATAGAAATTGATTTAATTTAAAAAATTACAAAATTTTTTCAAGAACATTTACATTTTATCAGTTGTATCGTTTATCTCGTTATGTTTATCTCACTTTTTATTCACTTTCAAATCAGAATTCTTATTTTTTTTATAAAAGATGTTTTTCAATAAGATTACTACATTTTTTCACTTTTTATTTTTTGCATTTTTTCTCAAATTATCGACTGAACCTATTTACCTTCAAAATAAAAGTGAAAAAAATTTTGTATACAATTTTCGAAAAAACAGAAAAATTCTTCTCACTCGAAATAATGACATTATAGAAATAAAATATGATAATCATTCACTTTCCTCATTCAGCGAGATACACGGCCACACCTCATGTTTACCTAATGCATTTGTAAAATTATTCTTTATAAAAGTACTATTCAAATTAGACACATTACATCACAAATCATAATTCATAAATTGAGTTGATCCGCATTTAATCTTCTAGAAAATCCTCACAATAAAATTTATTATTTTTATATTAATAAAAATTTTGTTAATGAATTTAACAAAATTATTTAAAATATCATTAAAATGAATTTAAATTAATTTTTAACTATACAATTACTACTCATAATTTCCTTTCTCTTTTATTTTCAACATTTTTTTTTTAATTATTATTATTTCAATAATTATTTACAATTTTAAAATATATTGAGACTGAAACTGTATTATATATTTATTATAAAAATTTAATATAAAAAAAGGGAAAAAAAATATTAAAATTTAATAATTAAAAAAAGTTTTTAATCTGTTAAGAATTTGAAAAAAAAAAATTCATTAATTCTTATTTTCAAAATTAAAAAAATGATAAGAAACTTCGACAAAATCAGTTTCAAAAACCAAAAAAAAAAAAAAACGAAGTTTCAAAAAAGACACAGTATAAGTTATACAAAATAAAAACGTTTTTATTTTTATTAAATAAAAAAATAAATAAATAAATATTTAAAATTTATCAATATTTATATTATAATGTAAAACTATAAAAAAAAAATAAATTATTATTCAAAATTATTACTTGAAATCAAAACTTCAAATTCAAAATCAAAATAAAATTAAAAATCAATAAAAAAAATGAAAAAAAAAAATAAATAAAATTTAAATCAATAGGGGGTCTTCCAAAATGCACATCTAACAGCAATTCGATTTACTCAGCATTTATTGAAATTGTATTGTTGAATAAATTAAATTGACGTTAGTTCTACATTTTGGTAAATGCCAAAATTAAAAAAAAAATATTCAAAAATTTTTTTTTAATTAAATGTAAGTATAAATGAAATTTTTAGAATACATTTTACAAACCAAAAAAAAAAAACAACAGAATTTAAAATTTTAAAATAAAATAATGAAATATTTAAATTTAAAATTTGTGTAGTTGTATTAAAACAATTCAAAAATAAAAAAAAAAAACTAAAAAATATTCTACTAATTACAATAATGATTAACTGTCATAATAAAATTATTATTTTTTTTTTTTTTAAATGCACTATTTTTAATTTTTATTTTGTAACAAAAAAAAATAATATTTTGAACTTCTTTGAATTTACTTTAAATTTTCAACTAACTAAATACCTAAAATATGATTTGTCAACAATTCTACAAAACAAAACTATTAAATTGTTTTAGTCCATATTAAAATAATAAACTGAAAACTTCAACTGTATGCAACAACTGAAAAAAAAATTAAATAAGAAAATTAAAAAAAGATATGTTATGTGGACATAATATGTATACATACATACTTACTTTTGGAATTTTTCCATAATTCAGACATACTGAAAGTACTGAAAGTTTAAAATTAAATTTTAAAAAAATTTTTCACACACATTTACAAGTCTGCAGAAACTAAATATTTTACTTTTACAGATTTGTAACATACTCGAGTAATTCTTTAATATCCAAAATTTTTCTATTAAGCTCTTCTTTTAATTTTTATAAAATTTTTGCACAACTTGTAACTACTGTTTTGTTCAAAATTTCTTATTTTAAAAAAACATTAGAAATTTGAGCATAACTGTCATTTTCGAACATGTTATTTTTGCAAATTTTGCAATTTGAATTTTTCGAACGCGCTTTATATTAAAACCTAAATTAGAACTAAAATTATTTAATATCTTTGAAAAGCTTATGCAATTCAATGTTATTGAATCTTATAATATTTAATAGCAAACACCATAATTAGATAACATTATTTAATATAATGCGGGAAAATTATTTAATATTTTAAAAATTTATTATTAATACTTTTACAAACTATTAAAAAATTATTGACGAAGATTTGGAACAAAATCAATATTAAGAAAAATATATAGAAAATCCGGATTTATTTATTATTATTTATAATACCTGTTATTTATTATAATATTTCAAAAAATTTATATTTAAATTAAATAAATGTGTTTTTCTAAATTAAATTTTCTTATAAGCCACAATATGAAAGAACCAAAACAATTTAATTTTTCAATAATGTATACATATATATGATGCAATGGAATAATTTTTTTTTTTCAATTAAAAAATAATTATGTATCTCTATTTCATAATCTTCAGAATAGAAAATGTGTATGTAATCTAATTGATCTAAGAAAAAAATTAAATTTAAAAGATTATTTCAAATTTGAAATTTCATACCTTGTACTTTTATTCCAAGATTCATATTATGTATTATGGTTACTCGGAATGAAATTCGATAGATAATTTTTTTTTTTTAATTGTTTTGACTTAAGTAAGTCATTTTTTAAACTAAAATTCAAATTGAATCTTATGTTCTTAATTATAACTCTTTATATATGTATGTATGTTTATAATTACAACCAAATAAGACCTACATAAAAATAACAAAAAAAAAATTTAAATAATAATTGATTAAAATTATTTATCAATTCAACTAAATGTTTGATCTAAGTAATCGACTGATAACAAGAATAGCAAAAAAAAATTCTATTTATTTATTTATTTTTCAAAACAACTTTTTTACATATATTTGATTATTTAAAAATGCGTATAGTAAAACATATACACATTTTATATTGATTAAATCACCCCTATCACGTCTATCACCTCTAAACAACTTCAAAAAATAAATACCTGCTATAATATTATAGCTACTGATGTTTTTTTTACAACTGTAGTGAAAATTCTACCTTTTAACAATTTTCAAGACATTTTCATTTTTTAATTACCAATTAAAACACGATATTGGACAAATATTTTATTAACTCAATTTTATTTAGCTTATGTTACTTTTTTTTTTAAAAAAATAACGCAGAAATTTCTAATTTCCTGACTGTATGATCCCCAAAATGGGGGTTTCACGCTTACTATTATATTAACAATGCTAATACAGTTTATTATGTACTAGACTACATGTTAGATTCCATTTTGATAAATACAATTTTCATACATAAATATGAAAATAAATACAATTTTTTTTGATAAATACAATTTTTGTTTTTCTAAATAAAAATCGAATACAATATTGAAAAACTTTTTCTAAAAAGTTATTTAAAAAATTTTATTATCAAGCTATTATATTTTAATTATATTATCAAATTGTTTAAGCTTATCATATCGCACATTACTTGAAACTCTTTTAATTTAAAACAAAAAAAAATTAACAAAAACATTTCAAACCAATATTAATGATTTGTTTAACTAACATAAAACAAAATAATTATTAAAATGTAATCCATGCCAAATTTCAATACACATACTATAATTAAAATTAGAATTTAAATAGATAACTGATTGACCACTGAATCAGAATTAATCGAAGCAAAAAAAAAATATATTGTCAATTTTAACCAAAGTAGAAATCACATCATTAGATTTAATCATAAAACAGTTTAAATTTAAAAAATATACATAATTATAATTTTTATAGGGAAAATTAAAACAAAAAAAAAATCAACGTAAAATTTAAATAAAAATATTATATTAAAAAAAAAAAACAATGTTGAAAATATAATTTTTTAGCAAAATCTAATGAAAGATTGTAAATATAAAATGTTGGAATTTATATGAAAGTTTTTACTTGCAAAAGTAAAAAGTACGAATTGTTAAAAGAAAAATGTTTAAAAAAAAAATAGTAATAAAAACTATAATAAAAATTAAATAAAATTCATGAAAACAATCCGTTCTTTTTCAATTCTTTTTCAAACAACTGAATTTTAACTCAATGAATTGTTCCTATAAAAAAAACTAAATTGTCGACGAATGAATGCAATACTATAGAATGTATATTCTTAAAATTCCCCATATCTTAAAACTAGATAAACTTTTAAGAAAAAACTATGAATTTTGTATACATACTATGTATAAATTTTTAAAATTATACAAAATTATATGTAACACTATTTGCAACAAAATATATAATATGTCCCTATCTTATATATGCAAATCGTTTATATACCAGCATATATGTATATGCAAATCGTTTAACATTTCAAAGAATCATATCCTCTATTATTTACATACATAAGTATACTTTCTTATAAGTAGACAGAAATATAACTCTTTAATAATTACGACCTAATGTATATATTTGTATATATATGTACATATGAATCAACTCATATTACATTTGGGAAATTTATAATATATGTATGTAAAAGTTGTATGGTATGGATGTGCTATAAACACAAAAATTCTAAAAAATAAATATTGTATACACAAACTTTATTTCCTTTACCTTCTAAAACATTTTAATATCAAACTTACTATTTTCATAAACATACATAATAATATATTAATCCGAAACAGTTAAAATTTCAACTCCATCTTGAGTTATTAGAACAGTATGCTCAAATTGTGCACTTCTAGATAAATCAGTGCTCATCGCAGTCCATCCATCCTCTTGAAGTTCAACTTCTGCACTACCCAATGATAAAATTGGTTCTATAGTAAACGTTACTCCAGGTAACATAACACCTTCTATATCATTGTCTGCAACAAATTACATAGGTATTTACTTGTAAAAATAATTGCATATTAAGTACTTGAAATATGTACTTTGTGAAAAGAATTGATTTACCATAATGTAAAATTTCAGGAGGACCATGAAAATAAGAACCAATTCCATGTCCAATAAATGCTGGAATTGATTTTAGATTTCTGGAATCTGCAAATCTTTGGATATATTTTCCTATTTTATTATATGATACGCCGGGTGCACAAATATTTATTGCCCCATAGAGACATTCTTTTGTTGACTTTACTAAAAATTTTCCTCTTTCATCAACATCTCCTACTAAAAAAGTTTTTGAACAATCACCATGGAAACCATTATAGAATACCGTAATATCTATATTAATAATATCGCCATTACACAACTTTCGATCATCAGGAATCTAAATAGAAATTTATTAAAAGATAAATGTGTATGTTTAAATACCCTAATCCAAAATTACCCCATGACAGGCAACATTATTTACTGACGTACAAATTGATTTTGGAAAACCTGCATATCTTAAAGGAGATGGATAAGCTCCATTGGATATTACTTTTTCATGAACGTAAGCGTCAATTTCATCAGTCGTTATTCCAACCTAAAAACTATACATATTTTACCCTTACATATTAAGTAAATGAAATTTTTTTTATTATTTTAAATATATCAAAATCTTTAAAATTACCTTTAAAATTTCAGTACAGGATTTTAATATTCGAGCAGCTAACTTACAACTTTCTAAAATACAATGTTATATAAAAAGTTTTTTAATGTATTAGCACATATATTTATATATGTACTTATATGCTATGAAGATATAAAAACAAATTTATTACCTCTCATAGAGTAAATTTCTTTGCGACTTTTAATTTCTGGCGTTCCCAATGTACACCCAGGTTCCATAAATTCATAATAATAATCCGGTTTGTGAATATGGTTAGGAATTGATCTTTCAGGGGAAACATTTCCTAACTCAACAATTTCGCAAATACCTAAATCTCTATAAACATATTTTAAAATCAAAAGTAACTTTTTTTTTACTTAGACCAAAATTACTTTTTTGCCCATAATCTAGAATTTCCAAGGAACAACTTTAGTACATTCGATTTTAAAATCATTTTAAAATCATTCCAAAAAGTAATTCGGAAAACTATAAAAATAAATTATTCATAACGTATAATACTTTAATTACAAAAACAGCTGATTGTTATAACATAAATAAACTCTAGCCATAATGCCGTATATATATTAAAATAAGATATGTTCATAAATATAGCATACATTTTTTATTTTTTATATTTTCGTTATACTCTGGTTAAAATTGACTAAAAATAATGTCAAAAAAATCTAAGTGTTTATACCTCAGCGTCTTAAGCGAATACTGAGAAAATTAATTTAGAAGAAAAATTTGCTAAATTGCGACAAAATAACTTTTAAGTGGTTTTCTTTTTGTGAACTTAGTGCCGATTAAATATTTGCAAATTGTATATTTACAAGATTTTTTTTCGATAAGGAAAATTTCGATTCTGTTTTTAAGCTGTATTCCGTTTTCAATGAACATATTAATATGTGTGAATTTTTGTGAAATCTGAAAACTACCATTTTTATTATAATGAGCAATGAGCGGTAACGGCGAGCGATTTCAATTGTTAAAGCAGAACACAAGCAGTACGGTAAAATTAACTGTTCAATGGCTTTTGTATATAAAATGACACGTAAACAGGTTATGTCAAAAAAAAAACTCCAGCGGTTTTTGCGGTAATTTATTTTACCGCAGTCAATTATTACATATTATATTTTACCGCAGTCGGTTTTACATATTTGTAAAACTTATAAAAATCTTTATCTATGATTTTTCAAAAGGAGCACCTTTGTTATCTTAATTTTGCTCATTATGTACATAATATAAAAATACATATGTATGTAGTATGCATATTAATTGATAATATGTATATTTGCATTCAAACAAGCTATATAACGGCTTCGACTAGTTTTATTCTTTTAAAATAATTAACATTATAATTATAAAATTATTTTGAAAATGTACAACATTTGAATTTCTACAATTAAATTTACGCTATAACCACAAAAATTAATTATCGTTACATAATTATAATATAGTATAACTCCTAGTTACTATTATCGTTTTTATTAACATTTGATTGGTAGTTGATTGAGCTGAAGTCCCCCGTATTACATGATATTGACGGAATATCAAAATTTGAAAAACCTCTATAATCTGAAGTGGTTGGTTTTATAGGTGACGGTAATAAAACTTGACTTGGAGAATCACTTTCAATTAAATTTTGTGAATTTTCTTCTAAAGAAGAGTGCAATGATAAATTCATTGCACAATTTTCATTAATATTTGTCTGAATAGAATGACCGTTGGAGCATTCTTCTTTAGTCGCATCGTCCTTAAGTAGTGGATCGAACTCTTCAAGATCAAGCTTCAATGAAGTTCCATCTCCGGAATCTGGATGAATAACTTTATTTACTTCTTGGACGTCTTCATTTAGACTATTTTCCCCACTATAATCGGACAAGTCAAAATCGTAATTTATATTTGAAATTCCGCCTGTAAAATCAGTCACATTAAGCAAATCATCTGGTGTGTTATCAAAAGGGGTATAATTAAATATAGGTGAAGAAAATAATAAATCTCCTGAATCGCTATTTGGCATATTTCCTAAAGTTGGGCATAAAGTATTAGATGTGTCTAAATTTTCTTTTACACTACATAAATCAGAATGCTTCTTCTCGACTATTTTTGGAGAAACAGGTGTTATGGGCGTTGGAAGATTATCTTTTTGTCCAGATAAAATAGTGGGATTATTTTCATATATTTTTGTAGCTGATAACAAATTTGATTGGAAATGCCCATTCTCGTTTTGAATTTTTTTCGGAGGCAAAATTGGTACTGCAATGCCCATTGCAGATTTTCTAATTTTTTCTCTAACAAGTTCCGGTGTTTTAATAGGCAAAATAGTCAAAGGAGCTTTACTAATTGTGGCATCAATTTTTTGCGTTATTTCTTCCTAAATTTAAAAATTATTTTAATTTATTACTTATATTTCTTATTTTATTTTTACCTCAAACTGTTTTAAACTAATGCTTAGTGATGCTATTTCATCTAATATACTGTTATTTTTCTTTTTAAGAGCTTCCATCTTTTTCATGTTTTCAGATATTAAATGCAAACTTTCGCACGCCATCAAAGCACTTTCCCAAGGTGTACTAATTGATCGTTCGCCAGACATTAAAGATTCAAATTCGTCAGCTGGGAGGGACAGATGTTTGTTGTTTAAAATTTCAATAAAATTTGTAGCAGAACACTATAAGAATTAAAACAAAACTCATTAAATAACTTTTAATAAGGTACTAAGATTTGCTACAAACCAGATTTGTGAAGTAATAAGCTCCTTCGCCACTCATTATTCTTGATGTAATACTAAATCGTGAAATGTAATTTATATTACTATGTAATCTAACCGGATTTGCCTTAAGAATGACAAATATTAATGCCGGTACAAATTCGTCAGCCCCTGCTGGTCCTCCAACAGAGTGTTTTAACAAAGCAAATACATTTCGACAACATCTGATGATGCATTGCAACTTTTCTTGTGGAGAGTAATAGGAATCCATTGCCACTAACTCTGAAATTAAAAATTTTGTTTTATACTAAATAGTTAAACAAAAAAAAAATTTACCTGTTATTGCATTATAAACTAAATCTCTACATTCTGAATTTACTTCATCAATACTACAAGCCAAATGCTTTGCAGTTATCCAGCTTAATTGCCGAATTCTTTTTTGAATTTTTGTATCAGATTCCTCGTCATTTGTAAAATACGGGGAAAATAAATTTCTAAAATTGCATCAAATATCAGAATAATTATAATTCCCAATAAAATATCTCTTACTTGTGGTTTTTAGTCATTACAACCCTTTCGAAAAAATCCAAACATTCATCTTTTACAGTTTGCGAGACATTCATGAATTTTGAATCATTATTTAAGATATCAGAAAATTTAGAATAAGCATTTTGAACTAACTCTGATATTTCGTCAATATTTTTATGAGAGCTTGATATATGTGCATGTATTCCTGAATCTAATGCCCTAATTTCACTTTTAAGCTTATGTTTCGCATCATCCGAAATTTTTAAAGATTTCAGAATGATTTTAAACTCCTGTTCAATAGGATCTGGCAACCGCATTTTGCTATGCTCTGATACATGTTGAGATGATTGTTTAGGAGACGCAGCTAAAAGAAGAATAAAATTTGTGAGAAAAATTACCTTCCGATGTCTACTGCAATTGTTTTTTCGAAATTCAAAAATACCGGCCAATACCAACCTTATTTTTAGAATTTACATTACCTTTTGAACTGTTTGAGGATATATTGAAAACAGACAATAAAGGTTTCTTTTTCAAAGAACCTGCGTAGCCATCTTTATTCCCCGATCTACTTGGAGATTCACGATGTGCCCGATGGGAAGGCGAATCATGACCTTTTACGATTTGAGACTCTCTAGGATCATGTTCTTTACGATAATGAGGTTGGCGATTTGGATACTGTTGCTGTAACGATTGGTTTGACTTAGGGAACGAAGGATCTATTTTCGATGTTCCGACAATTGTTTTTTCTAAAATTTAAGAATGAGCTGTTGAAAAATTATATTTTTCTATTTACGTTTCTTTTGCTTTTCATTTCTTTCTCGAAAACATTGTGAGCAAAGTCCGTCAAACTGTGTCCAATTTCCATAAAATCCACACCCTCTTCTACATTTCAGGTCTGAAAACAAAATTATTATACATACATACAACTGTTTTTTTAATTAAAATTTAGAAATTAAACTAGGTCTTTTACCTTGATGATCAACACGAAGAGTTGTAAGTTTACTCGTGTGCATTTTAATTCGTTCTCATTTTCATTTTCTGATTTCTACAAAAAGTGTTTTCAATCTAAATAAAGAAACAAAAAAAAATACAAATTTTTTTATATGGATGTCTAACAATACATGACTCAATTTCTTAATATTCAAATATTTAACATTTAATAATGACATATACCGTACAGTGATAGCACTTTAAAAATAACAAAACTTTAAAATTTGACAGTCTGAAAATTTCTTATAATGAAGCAATTGCAATCGGTTGCCAATTTGCTTGTTTTGACAGACAGAAGATTCAAAATTAGAAAACAAAACAAATTTGAAGTGCTGATTGGAAGTTGCATCTTTATTTCAATATTATTCTGGTATTCACTTAATAATTTTTTTATATAAGAACATAAACTATTCTGGTATATGTTTCAGTTTCAGTGCTACTTTTAATTACACATATTCCTATGTAATATCAGATATCAATAAATAAAAATTAACCCAACAAATTAAAAAAAAATCTGAATACACTATCGTCAAATGTAACCGATTTAAAATTTCGAATAAATTTGACTTATCATTCTTTTCTTTTTTTTTTAACATGGCTGACGGAAATACTATTTATAAATACTTTTTATAAATATGTAAATAAATTTACTAAAAAATAGTTTTGTTATGTTAAGGTTTTAAATAATAAGTAAGCTAAAATTGAATATGTATTTTGTGTCGTCAAAAAATCTAGCAAAATATTTTAAGGAAAAACATTAAAAAAAAAGAAAAAAAATTTAAATTTAAAAAAACAAGAAACACAGAAAACTTGACAACACTGTTGTTTGACAAATTTTAAGAATTGGTAAAACCTTCAATTTCTCCAGTGACATTTCTTTTGGGTAGGTGTTGGTTGGTGTACGTGTAGGATTTCATATAAAATATAAGTTCACTTTTCATTATATTATTTAAAATTAATTACTTTTTCGAAACTTATCCTTTAATTTTTTGTTTAAAATCAAAAAAAATTATACAAAATGTCTGTTAATCTAAGAACAGTAAGTTAACGAAGATTATGGAAAATCGTAATAGATTAATTAGTTATATCTAATTATTTACAATAAACTTAAATTGCAGGTTTATGCATTTGCCAGAGAAATGTACCCAAAAAAAGTTAATGAAAATATTAATTATGGAACTGCTGGATTTCGAGGCGAGTAAGTGATTCCTTCTTTATTAAATAAGTACACACGTACAAATCTGTATGTCGGAATATACCGCATTATGTATCTAATTTGTAAAAGTTATCTAGATATAAGTAAATATGTACATATATAGTAGATATGTATATACATATAAAAGATAAGTGGAGAAAAGAAATGCTAAAATTATATTACTTGATGACTAAGACATATTTTTATTCTTATTTATGTGCGTTAATGTACAGAAATACGGCAACATTAGAACAATTAAATTTGATTAACCCTTTAGATTATAAAGAATATTTTAAGAAAGTCATTGAACCAAGTGGCAATCGAGTTTGAGATTTTTCAGTTAAAAATATTTGAGCACATGCAAACCAAAAATTTTACATTAATTAATACATTAATAAGTATATTTAATTTAAAATTGTATATAATTATTATGCACATATACATATGTATATATAAAAACTTTAATTGTTTTAGGGCAAAAAAATTGGAATATGTTATGTATAGAATGGGATTATTGGCAACATTAAGATCTCGTATAAAGAATGGTCAAGTTATAGGAGTGATGATTACAGCATCTCACAATCCTGAGCCTGATAATGGAGTGAAGCTTGTTGATCCAATGGGAGAAATGTTAGAGCCTAAATGGGAAAAAATAGCTACTGAGTTGGTAAATGTAAGCGATAACGAACTAGAGAGTAAAGTAGCCAGTATAATTAAAGAATTAAATATTGACATTGGTACACATTGTAATGTTTATGTGGGAATGGATAATCGTTATCACAGCCCAATCTTGCTTAAAGCTGTTGCTGACGGTGTTATAGCCTTAAAAGGCAATGTTAAAGAATTTGGAATAATCACCACGCCAATGATGCATTATTTTGTTGTATGTGCAAATACAAAAGGGTCGTATGGAATCCCAACAGAAGAGGGGTATTACAAGAAAATCATTGGCGCTTTTGAAAGTATAAGAGGTAACCAACTAGAAAATGGTAATTATAAAAATCGGTTGATGTTTGACGGTGCAAATGGGGTTGGTGCAAGAAAAATGATTCAATTTTTGAAAAGAATGAATGGATCTTTGAACTGTGAAATTTTTAATAAGGGTGAAGGGAAAATTAATGAAAATTGTGGAGCAGATTTTGTGAAAGTTCAACAAAAGGTTCCAAACGGTATGCCAGAGGGAATAGAAGCCAATGTTCGTTGCGTAAGTGTAGATGGGGATGCTGATAGAGTTGTTTATTTCTTTACTGATTCAAACGGTAAATTTCAATTATTAGATGGAGACCGAATAGCTACATTAGTTGCTAACTATTTGATGAGTCTAGTTAAAAAATGCGGTTTAAAACTTAAAATGGGATTGGTACAAACTGCTTACGCAAACGGTGCTTCTACAGATTATATTGTGAATGAACTAAAAGTACCAGTAAGCTGTGTTTCAACTGGTGTAAAACATTTGCATCATAAAGCATTAGAATATGATATTGGTATTTATTTTGAAGCCAATGGTCACGGTACTGTTGTATTCAGTGATGAAGCTAAGGAAATGATTAAAAGTATATCGGAACTTTCACAGAATCCAGAACAAAAAAATGCTGCAAACAATTTTATTGATGTAATAAATTTAATAAACGAAACCGTGGGCGACGCTATATCTGATATGCTTTTAGTTGAAACGATTTTGCATTCAAAAGGATGGGATGTTAGGGAATGGTTTGATACGTACACCGACCTACCTAACAAATTGCTCAAAATAAAAGTACAAGATCGAAATGTCATTGTTACTGCTGATGCGGAAAGAATATGTGTTAAACCAGAAGGATTACAAGATGAAATAGACAAAATTACATCTAATTATAAAAGAGGTAGATCATTTGTTCGGCCATCTGGAACTGAAGATGTAGTAAGAGTGTATGCAGAAGCTGCTACTAAAAGTGTAAGTTATATTTTCCATTACATATAACAAAAACTTAATAATTTTTTTGTTTTAGGATGTTGATCAGCTAGCTTATGAAGTTAGTCAAGTTGTTTACAAGATGGCAGGTGGCACCGGTGCAGAACCAACCCCTCCGGAAACTATTTACAATTCACATATTTAATTTATTTGGATATTTATATCAACGTATAATAAAAGAAATTGCCTATTGAGAATTATTTATATTTAAATTCTTTGTCTTAAGGTTATTTAATATAATAGAAGATAGTATATATACATACTTATAAAGTTTGTTAAAAAAATTATATACGGATTGTTTAATTCATTTTTTTTTAAGATATTTAAATATATAATTTTAGAAATAATGTTTTTGCTCTTTAGCCATAGTAAAAATGATTATGTAAACAAATCTATTCCACTGCCAAAAACGGTGAATTTTGTAATTATTTATTTTTTTAATCACATAATGGATTTGATTATGTAGGTAGCAAGTTGATAGTCTAATAAAAGCAAATATTTATTGAGCAAGTTTATAAAATTATTTTTCATTATTTTTAATTTTAAAGTCTAGTTCTACAAATTATTTTTGTATATTTTTGTATGATTTTATTAATTTTATAGAAAAAAAAATAAATATTTATTTTTTATTTGTTTTACTCTATATTTGAAAAATATTTCATTTGTTTTATTGATTTGAAGATATCAGTAGATTGTTCGAATTTGATTATAATCATTGTATCTACAAATTGAAATAAAAAATGTTTTTGGTAATTAAAAAATTTATTTCTTAAAAAAAGTATAAAATATAAACCATTTTATAATTTTATTACTTATCATATACATTATGGACGGAATTGTACCTATTATTTCGATTGGAATTAATTCAATTGTACAATTCTTTTTATTTGGACGGATTTTTTATCTTATTTTTTGTCGGTTTTGTTTTTATTTTTTTCATTGTACATTATACACAATTTGTAAGTTTGTTTAAAATTAAAGAATTTTTTATAACAAGGATAGATAACTTAAAAGTACTAAACTAGTTAAGGTATAAAAAATATTTGTGCTCATAGCTTTTGGAGCAGATGCAAAACAATCAGTTATCCGCCGAGCCCTCAAAAAATCGTTTCCTAAATATGTATCGAAACTTCGTTTATCTTTATCTATAACTTGAAGTTGGCGTGTTGCGTCTTGGAAAATTAAATCGTAATACGGCGCTGGTGATGAGAACATACTAAAACTAAATTCATCGACGTACTTTCTACCATATAACTGTTGAGCATATTGAAACAGATTAATAAATGCATTCAATTCAGTCTCGTTGTATCCGAATCCTCCGCGGGCTACAATAGCATTTGCTTTCACTTTTCCTAAATTACATGTCTTGTATTCAGACATTTCAGCACGTGTACCTGTAAAAAATTACAATTATTATTTTGTGAATTCTAAATTTGTAATTTTACCATCTGGGCATAAAAGTTCAAATTCATCTTCTAATGTATTTCGTGCCCACCATTCTTTACGCTTTCCGCCAGTATTTTCAGAAACAGTTGTATGTTTTACGAAGGCAACTTGGCCGCCACCTTCAACTAAACATCGAAAAGCACCAGTATGACCATAATAATCCTCTGAAGCGTCTCTTCTGCAGTAACTAAAGCTTGATCCATGGCAAAGACCGCACATTGAATCGTACGGAATGTCTTTGTTATATTGGTTACTTATTGCTCCAGGTATACACGATTTTGTAAAATATTCAGCTGCAGCCCGGACGCTATTACATCCATATGGACGAATCCAACCGTTAGAAATTAAATAAGCCATTGGGTATGTCCATCCTGCAGCTGTATTCAATCCTGTATGACATGTATATTTCCCTTTTAAATAAGTCAATTCGGTGTCTAGATCTTCTTCTTTTCCAACTGCTACGACATAATATTCGGGCTCTCCTAAATTGTAGACTTCGGACATAAAGGGTATCAGTTGATAAAACCACCCTCCGGTATATACATCTCCAGCATCAAATACTGCAACATCGGCTGCGCCTTGTTGTATAGATTGCATGCAATATATATGAGAATGGCCTCTAAAGCAGGTCAATTCAGGTTTCAAAAGTTGAGCTTTCAAAGCAATCTGGAAATTTGAATTTTAAAATTATTGTAACTGTAATAAGAAAATAAGATTTTGAGAATAGTATTTACCTTCATCTTGTGACACTTTTCGTATTCTGCATCTGACGTTACACATAGCTTCATTACTCCTATAGGACAATTACGAATTTCATATATATAATCAATTGCAGCTCCTAAATAATTACGGAATGACTGCTCTTCTTCTTTTATAAGCTCCAAGCCAACAGAAGAATCCTAAGAATAAGTTTTATAATTTAGTATTTCAACTTTGATTTATTTTTATTTTGAGAAAAATTTACTTGGAACATCAAATTTTGCTTCCCATGTATTTTTGAATCAAACATTTTAAAATTTTCAATTAGTGAAGTGTTTTCGTTCCGTATAGAATTAGTTTCTGTAGGAAAGGAGTCATCAATTCTTCCAAATCTTGAACCTTCATTGTTATATCTGTCATTGTTTCTACTATTTCGATCAGATTGTCCATAGTCCAATCTATTTTTTCGGTTAAAATTGTCGTCGTATCGAGTTGAGGGATTATTATTATAAGTTCCTTGATTCCTTGAGTCATAATTACTTGAATACGAAGAATTATTAAATGTTATACCAGTCTGGCCACCATAAAGCTGAGATACTTTTAATAAAAATTTTTGAAACTGTTTTCTTTCATCAAATGGTCGAGCAGAAGATACAGCGATTGCATCTGTAGGAACTTCACCCCAATTACACTGTAAATATTCACTGATGGGTTGCCTTCTGCCATCCTTACATAACAACTGGAAATTATCCACCGACTGCCCTCCTAAATTCAAAAAAAATTTATTGATTGAAAATTGAAATAATGGAAATATTATAAAAGTTTATTATGTAAAATTATATTACACATATTTATATGCTATAACTTACGAAACTCGGTTCCCGTCAACATTTCGTTTACAGTTGTATGTCGTAGGAATGCTATATCACCAACTTCCAATAAACATCTGAAAGCCCCATCGAATCCATAATAAGGATCAGCAGGGGTACATCTCCCACTTTGAACTTTTCCGGAGCATAAAGAGCATAATCTGTAGAGAAGACAAAAATTCATTTTTATATGAGTTTTAATAAGAATTATGTTTCTCGGAAAAAAATAGGAAAAATAATAATTTTTGAAAACCAGTTTTACGATGATAAATCAAAATTTAATATACTTGTCTGAATTGTCTCCCAATGGATTATATTTGTCAGTTAAAGAATTAACAGCACACGAATCATTGAAAAAATGAGCGGTTGTTTTTACTTGATTGTTGCAATCTTTTATTTCCATTCCACCGTGTTTTTGGAGCTAAAAGAAATAAAAACAAAACACTAACGGCAATAAAATGTGAAATATTTATAATTTTTTACTGTATAAAGGGGCACCGTCCAACCAGCCAAGCTCCCTACCCAAGGAAAACATGCCTTTTTATTTCTTAAGTCTCTTAAACTGTGTACATCAGGTAAAGTATCCCTTTTTACAACCGCAACAGCATAGTAATGCTTAAATCCTCCTTTAGAAACTTCTTGCATTATAGGTATTAAGGAATTATATCGTCCAGCAGTAAACATATCACCAGCATCAAGTGTGGTTATATGTGCCGTTTCCCTATCAATATGATGTATACATTCATCTGTATTAAAAGCCATAAAACATGTCAAATTAAGAAAACTATCATCAAATCGCTGCCGATCATACTCTAAAATCTTCGTTAAATTCTGACATTTATACTGCTCAGCTTCAGATTTTGTGCACCATATTATATGGTCAATTTTGTGCTCATTGAAAAAATATTGTCCTGAAATATTAAAAAAAATTTTCAAATCTTAATTTATATTACAAACACAATATTTAATAGTACATATTACATTTATTATTATCAGAGAAAATTAATCAAATTATTTAAATGCTTTGCGAAAACAAAATTTATTTCTCAATAATTTTTGTGTTAAAATGAGTAATAAAGTAATTTTAAAACAAACAGGGTGGGTCTTCAATGAAAACTAGTTTATATGCTTACCGTATATTATAGGAATAGTAACAATAAGTATATTAAAAGATAATAGATTCATTTTAAATTATATCACGTTTTATATAAAAACCAAAATACATTGGTAAAATTTTATAATTTTATGAAAACAACTTAAAATATAATACAATTCTTTAATTATAAAACACAATCTATAAACATGTAAGCAAGCAAAATCTAAATTGCTGTCTGTCACTCTATTCAAATGAAAAGACAATGAATCAGTGCTTTCGTTTTGTACAAAAAAATGGGAGTATATGGCGCACTGCTGAAAAGATAAAAATTTGAGATTTTTTGTGAGTTGAATTTTAATAGATTTCAATACAAAAAAAAATAATCATATTAATAATTATTATAATTATTACAATTATAACTCCTTTTCTTACCTTTAATTAAAAAATAGCTGAACGGTTTTACGGTGAATAAGATACGAAATAAAAAGTTGACAGCTTAATTGACGGAAATTTTGTTTATATATCGTAAACTGTAAAAAACTATCTTTTAATTTTAAAAATAAGAATAGAAAAAAAAAATTACAGAAATTGAAATTACATATGTATTATAAAAGAAAATCACGTAATGAATTAATATAAAAATGTATGAATATTTTTGACAACTAAAATTCAATTCATAGTATGTTAAATCTTGCCGGAAAAATATAATGAAGAATAAAAAATAAACAGATTTAATAGTATATTCTTTAAAGAAATCCATTTTTCAAATTGTTTTTTCTTTAAAAAATTATTGAATTAATTACGACAGAAATGATTACTTAACATATTATGCTGTCACAATTTAGCTTGAACGCTTTTTCATTAAAACTTATATTATATTTTACAAATTACATACCTTGAACAGAGCAAATATATTTTTTGATGAATCTGTCAAAAAAAGTCCTATATCCTATAATGTTACATCGCTGACATTAATTTTAATTGTCAATGTCAATTTGTAAAAAATATAAATGTAAACAATAAACAGAAAATATTTTATAGGAACTTGTATTACAAGAATTTATTGCTTCATACATTTTATTTTAACAAAATAGTTGTTGAAAATGAGTATAAAAGATTCTCCTAGTAAAAAAATTGGATTTTTGCTAACTGAAGTTGGTCAGTAGTTTCCTGGACTAGATGAATGTATCAATTTACTTATAATATGATTAATTTTAGCCATGGGTTTATTAGATCATAAGTATTTTGATTTAGATGGAAGGCCAGTTAATGATTTACAATGTTTAGTTAAATATAATCGAAATGAAGAAGATTATTCTAAAGACGATAAAGATCTCCTTAGTTTGCTGAAAATAACTAAAAGTAGCTTAGCTGAAAATGTGTCTTGTAACATAGCAGATACGATAGATCTTGATGATGCCGAAGATAGTGTTGATAATAACAGTGATAAACTAAAAAGTAAAGATGGGTTACCAAATGAAGTTGAAAAAATTCAAACACCTGAAGAAAGCACCGCCAGCAACACAAATGTTAAAAATACTTTAAGTGAAAAAAGTAAAAATGTACCTTTAGAAAATTCCGAACTGGTTACCAACAAATATGAAGAGAAATTGACTGATACAGATTCTGAAATAGGAGAATCTGTAGCACCACCAAATCTTAATGTTTCATTAATAAAGTCTGACTTAAGACCCGATAGGGTAAAATACTTAATAGACCTGACACAATCAGAATTTTTGAAAACAGAAAAAGCAGCTAAAATAAGAAGACGAAAATTTTTAAGAAGGCAACGTTTGGGAAAAACTGACAAAACTTTATTAGATTTCTACAAAGAAGAAAAAAAATTATTTGAAATGGAAAGCGAAGCTCTTATTAGTTTCATAAAAGGTATGTACTTATACAATCAAATTATAACATGAAAAATTCACATAAAATTTCATGAAAGTGTGTATTATAATATGCTAATAACTTTTAACACATTAAACAGTGGTTAAGAAAACAGAATTTCCTCCAGACAATTCGAAATTAATAAAACTGGTTACCAAAATTTCTGGTGATATTATGGAAGCTAAAAAAGTAATAAGAAAAATATAATTACATATGTACATACGTTATATACACTTATAAAAATAATTTTTTATTCTTTCAGGCTATTGAATGGAAAACAATGTTGTAAATTTCAAGTCTTCCAAATAATTATTTAATTCATTAAAGCAGTTAACACTTTGTGTATGAAAATATTTTGTATTAAACCAGATTCATTTTTTTAATGAAGAGCCAACCACTTAACGGTTAAATAAAGTAAAACAATGAGATATCATAATACAAAATATGTATTTTAAATACATATATGTAATGTAAATCTCAGATGTAAAAAACTAAAAATAAAGGAAGAAATACATACATATATACATAAAAGGTTTGTTTTTAAATTTGAAAGTAACTGAATTTGTAATATTAGCTATACTTTTTCCGAAACATCAACACGTCAGTTAAAAGTAGTTCATATCAAGTGAAAATAATTTTAGACACATGGGCAACCGCAAGGGAATAAAATGTTCATAAAATAACATTGTTTATGCTGCAGTTATGGTTCTTATTATTATTAATATAATTATTTAATTTATTATTATTAAAAAAATTATCTAAACAGCATTATTAATTTTAACAAATTACACATTAATACTCTGTTCTCAATAAGTTATGTTAAGAAACATAAATTAAAATGGTATAAATGATATTATTTTAAGGAAAGGAAATTTGTTATAACTGAGGAATTTTGCTATTTAGAAAAAATTTACACAATAATTATTATTGGTTTAGTCAATTGTTACATCAACAAGAATTATGTCTGCAGTAAATATTTTAAAGGATAAAAGAAAATATATGAAGTTGCAACTCATTTAAATTTTAATATGCCTATAGACTCGGTTATTTTTTGACAACGTCAAAATATTACCCAAAAAAATTTAATAACTTGCTAGAAATAAACATAATCGAAAACTTATAATTTTTTCCTTAAATGACTAAACTAAAATTTAAACTGACTCGTGAAGAAATCTGTGATATGTATAATAGTGAAAAGTTAATATCAACCCATCCCTGACATTTCTGATAAAAGTTTTAAAAAGGAAATTTATCACGTGTATCAGCTGTCTAAATAATTTACATATGGGATGGTAATGCAGTTTCGTTTATTTTAATTTTTGCATATCTTAACACTATTTGTTTGTTTGTTTGTGAATTTTGTATATAATTTAGATAGCAGATTACGTATTATATTAAAGTTAAGTAGATTTTCTACTCTGCTAAGCTGTTTTTATTCTAGTTTGTTATGAAATATTATTAAGTGAAAATAAATACTAATTAGCAATTACAATAAAATTCACAAATCATTAATAAACTGTTATACACGTTTACCATTTTATTGTAAAAAAAATTATTGTTAATACGAAAATATAAGTGAAAATATAAATATACGAATACCTACATACATGTAGTGATATTAATTATGTTGAGTTTTATACTTGCAATTAATGCAAATCATAGAATTTATCAGGAGCTTTATGATAGTCCAGCGATCACACCAACATCTTTTTCAATATTTGTTATGTTTTTTTATATAAATGTTTTATATTTAATGATTTCTGTTTTCATAACATTTCATCGTATCAATGCTGATAACTAAATTAAAATTGGCGGGATTCTAAATAATTTTTATAAACAAAAAAAGAACAAAGAAAAAAATTTCAATACAAATATAAACAATAGAAAAGAATTTCATTAATTTATAATAAAAAATAAATAAGAAATAAATAACTTGTTTAATAAAAAAATCAAAAAATGCTAGAAAAAAATTTTTACCACTTTAAACCAAATAATTATAATGATGATTTCATTCTTAGTCAAAATACAATTATACCTAAAGATATAACAAAGTACTTAAAAACGTTTCAATTGGGTGCTATTAAATTTTTGTACAAAAATTTTGAAACACATAAAGCATGTATTTTAAATGATGAAAGTGGTTTAGGTAAAACTGCATCTGTAGCAGTTTTCTTAAATGTTATATTAGCAAATAATGAAAAACGAAAATGTTTAATTATTTGTAAAAATGAAGAACGTATAAACAATTGGAAATTTCATTTAGATATCTTAACTGATCTGGCATTTAAGGTAGCATTTAACGAAAATGGTAAGTAAAGTAAACAAGTAAAATAATTATAATATGTATGTTTGTATGTTGGGCAAATTCTAAAAAATTAATATGTGTTGGTAATTTATGACAAAATTATTCTTATTTTAAAAATAATGATCAAATTAATGAGATAATTATTATGTACTTAAATATGTACATAACATTGTATCTCTTCTAAATTAGGTAATGTGATTTTGAGAACAGGTTTAAGTGTACGATTTACGTAAATTTATTGTGATTTCATATATTACAAGACTACTACGAACAAACACTAAAACATAAATTCTAGGCATGGTGAAGATTTGCTTTAAATTTTTTCAAATATTTTAATACGATGCACTGACTAGCTATACCGTGTTTTTTCATACTGTATAGTTTAGGTTAATAGATAGAATATTAAATTTTTAAAAATACTATTAATGTCTTCCTAATTTTAAAAAATGTGTTGTTATTTGCAACAAATCACAGTTTAATCACTTTGACTTCTACCGTCTAGTATGTAAAAATTGTTTTTTTTTTTGTTGTAATTAGGAACTATAATATAATGATTCGCATTTAACTCTAATCCAAATATAATTAAAACTAATCCAAGTATTTTCTTTTTCAGAAATTGATGAGCATACAGTTTATTTAACAAAATGGGAATCTTTGAGATCTTCAGCTTCTTTAGCAAATTACAAATTCGATTGTATCATTGTAGATAATCGAGAAAATTTGATGGCAAATAAAATTTGTCTTGCTTATCTATTAAGAAATTATGAAAATAAAATTTCTCTAATAATCGCAAATCAAGATGTCACGGTAAAGAATTTTATTATTTAATTATTAAATATTTATGTATATAAAAAATTTGAATGAAATTGTAATTTCTTTTTTCATTTTAGATTGACCTTAAAGAATTCCATTCAATATTAAGATTGTGTGGAAGATTAGAAACAAAATATCGAGATTTTAAAATTTTTGAAGATAAATTTGAACTACCCCTGGTACAGGGATGTTCAAGTGATAATCAAAAAATTTTGGAATCTTATTTTTTAAGAAGAGAAAAAATACTTAATTATTGCAAGTATGTGCTATTGCTATTTAATATTTAAAAACATATGCATAATAATCCAAAAATTTGTGAAAAAGAAAAACGTCCATATAATATATACCTACATTCTTAATTTTATATTTTTAGAGAATTTTGTCTAAGACGTTTTCGTCATCAATATGAAAACCAATTGCCTCTTGTTTCTCCAAATGTATATCGATTAAATTTAAAGAAATGGGAAGATGCACCAACGATTGCAAAAATTAAACCAGTTCAGTTGAATGTGTTTGCAGTTAATCAAACAGCATCTTATTTGGATCGAGATACTGAAGAAATGCATAACTCTTTCATTAATAAAATCAATCAAGATGGTGATCCTTCAAGTTCATTTTTTACTAGAAAAGAAGAAGATGAATTCAATATAGAGGTTTGTAGAATAACAACAACAATAACAGATAATGCAGTAGAACAAAGTACGGAAGTAATGTCACCTCTGGTATTTATTCCTGATGATTCTAGTGAGATTTATTTTGACGATAATGACGATAAAATTGATGACTTGGTTTCTTCAACTACAAAAGATGAAAGTGAAATTAGAATAATCCATCCTGCTCCAATACATATTAACGATGTTTCGAAACAATCACGTCCTGAAGGTAGACTTAAAGTGAAAAAAAACGACAGCAAAGAAAAAGCAGAATGCAACGAAACCGACGACGAACCACAATTAGTTCAAGTTACTCGTTTAACACCTAGAACTAGAAAAGATAAAAACTCAAGATCGGGATATAAAAAATTAAAAATAACTAGAGTTTCTACTCGAGCTCAAGATAGAGTAACTAGATCACAAGCTCATAAAAATAAATATTTGACTCTAAGCATTGAGGATACACTTGAGAAAAGTAAGCGTGATTTGGAGGAAATAAAAAAACTAAAAACTTTAAAAAAAAAGAAAAATCTTTGTAAGCCTACAGAAAACAAAAACCAATCAAGTACTAATAAGGGTAAAATAAAAAGTCCTTCCAAAAATTTAAAAGAAAGTAGTATGAGTGCAAATAAGGACGAAAATATAGTTTCGACAAGTTGTAACACTATAAATTCAAGCATAGAAGATGACTCATTGTTATTAGATCCAAATTTTGATACAACACTCAGCAGTTCTGATTCGTCTGCAAATATTCCTAAAAAGAAAACAAAGAAAACCATGCGTGATCATAATGAATCGCAATTATCAGGTATAAAACGTAGAGTAATGCAAAAATATCAAATTTTTTAAAATTCTTCTTTAACAAATATTACTATTTTAATTTTAAGGATTAAGCTTTTTAGAGGTTCAACAAAGTGAAGCTGTACATATAGTTGAAAGTACTCCAGAATTAATAGTCTTATCAAGTTCGTCTGATTCTTCGATTCGTACTAATAAAAATAAAATTAATAATCCATTTAAGAAAATAAATTTAGAAAAAGTATCAACAAAATTAAATAAAACTATTGCATCTCCTGACATATTTGGTAGTGCAGTAGATGAATCTTTGACTATAATATGCTCACAGAAAAGTAACCATATTCAAAACAAAAAAGTAAGAAAAAGTAAAAGTCCAACAGATTGCAGAAATAATGAAATTGTTGAAAAACATACTAGAACACGCACAAATTCAAATAACATTGCACAAAATAACAAAATAACTAAATATTTAAAATCGGATTATGCTCAAGATTCAGAAAAAGAAATAGTATCATCATCTTCACAATCAATACATTCTAGTCCGGCACTTACATATCCTAAAACTCCGAAAAAAAAGAAAGTTATAATGAAAAAAAATAAAATTGATTCTCGCGAAGGGAGCGCATCAAAACCTTCTCCACATTCAAGAACTACGTCCTCAGGTACTACACCAACAAAAACTCCAACTGCCTTAACGAAATGGTTATTCAAATCAAATAATAATCGAGAAATAACTTCTCAAAAGAATACAAGTGTCGATTTAAGTAAGGGCGAAGAAATTGTCACATCTTCAAGAGTAACACGATCTCTGGCTGTAAAAAACAGGAGACGTAGATTGGATTTATCCTTTGAAAAACAATAATAAAAAATTGGAATTTTCAACCAAAAAGAATCATAAGCTTAAAGAATATTTTCTAATTTAAGTAAAGTTAAACATTTAAAAACCATATTTTTTTCTTAAACAATTAAACAAATACTGTTTATTTCAATTGCAATATTTTGTTACATTAGACTTTTTACGAGATTTTTAATATTGTTCGATTATTTTGTAAAACGTAATAAAAATATAGACAATATAAACAAATTTTTAAATATAAATACATAATTTTCAAATGAATGCTGGAGCATATAACTTTGAAACAAAAAATATTATAAAAAGTTTAATTTAAAATTAATTTTTTTAAGCTACATTTTTAGCTACAATATAATTATGTATTTTTGATTATTTTGTTGATCTCAGGGAAACAATTTTTACATACATATATAGACAGTATGCAAAGCATAAATCAAAAATAATTGTTAATATCTTTAATGAAAAAAAATTATAAGTAATTATTTTTTTGTTACTATTCATTGATCGTAAGCTTTTTTTAAAATTTTAAAAAAATTGTTACAATATGGATTTAAAAGTATATTTTGTTGTTAATCATATTGTTACTTAAGCAAAGAATATTTTTTGTTAATTGAATTAAGAGAAATATTTTTTAAAATATATAATAAAGTGACTTAAAAATTAAAGGGCATACAAAACAATGAAAAGAAGTAGGCATTCGCTTATGAAACACATGATTAAAAAATCTTTTTTACAACTTAAAATTATGATTTATCTTTTATAGCCAGGTCATAGATTCTAATTCTTATACATACATATATAAGAATTAGAATCTATATCGCTCGTTTGCTGCAACACTGACGAAATTTGGGCATTTGATTAATATTCTTCTGGTTTTAGCATTATTTTTTAATTATTAATAATAAGCGACAATTTTTAAGTTACAACTGAGGGTTCTGTACAAAAAAAGTTATTTATGTGATTATTTCTGTAAAAATAACTCAGAAATCCTACTTTTTGAATTATGTAGCTGTTGCCGAAAATGAGCGATATATGTATGTAGGTATGTAAAATGGTTGATTATCTACAAAGTACTAAACATCCAAAAAACAACGGTTTTCTTGAAGGTACATAATATTTTCTAATAAAACATAAACGTACACATTGCGTTCTTTTACATTGAAAGCAGATTTCAAATATTTTTTTAACAAAATAAAGACAAAAATCGTAAAATTAATTATACATAATTAAAGCGTAACACCATTAAAGAAAACGAAACAGAAGATTTAGACATAATTACTGTAACGTTGCAATAGAAGTAAATTTCAAAGAAAAAATCAGGAACCATACGCAAACATTTTTCAATATACATACATACATACATATGTAAACTGAACAAAAAAGATTCTATTTTTAGTATTTCCACTGCTTGGCTTTTTTTTTTGTGCTTTAAACAGGAAAAAGACTTGTGATAAAAAAAAAGTTCTCCGGAATGTATAATATAAGCTTGCCACCTACCAATTATTAATTAGAAACTCATATGTATAAATAAAATATATATGTATTTATTAAGGGATAAAGCTCAAGTTGAACAATTAAACACTATGCATTTTGATATATTAATCAATTTTTCAAAGTTATCGATGAGGCGCTGCTTGAATTCAATATGCATATTTCAAAAATTACTTAAATCAAAAATATGTGCACAAAATGTGCACAAATTATGTGTCTCTTACGTTAGAGCGGTAACCCTAAAAAACTGTAAGATCAAAATAATAAACAATTGAAATATTAAATATCAAATAAAATATTTCATGAAATAAACATAAAATGAAGACTGATATAAGAATATATGAATGTATCTGCTTCATTAAAATTAGTAATAATTCTCTTGTTGAAAAAGGAAAACTCAATTACCAAACACTAGTAAAAAAAAATGAATCGATATCAAAAACGTCGTTTAGTTTTTATTGTCGCTGGTATATTATTAATTTATTTTATATTTCTAAGAGGATACAATGAATATAAAATAGAAGGTGTAATCAAAAATGCAAAAGCAGAAGATGTATGGGAATATGCTGCTGACTTTAGTAAAATGAAACTTCTAAATCCTACAATGTAATTATATTTTATCGATTTTATTTATCAATCTTTTAATAATATAAAAAAAAAAACGATTTTGCCTTTAGCTTAGATTTTAGAATAACGGCTGATGCTGGTACTTATGATCACTGGACTTATTCTGTTGTATATAAGTAAGTTTTAATATAGTATTGCACAATATACTCATATACTCTAAAAAATATTATTGATATTGTAGAAACAAATTTTTTTTTTATTTTTTTTTATTAGGGAAAAACTTTCACATTGGCCCTATTGGATAAATGTGGGTTATGCAGATTATGTTGTACGAAAATTTCCTAAATCTGTTGGAGAAACAATGGTTATTGATTCAAAGCATAAAACATGTTTTCTAGCTGGATTTTATTGCCGTAATGATTGAATCAAATGCAAAATTTTTTATACATGTCTATATTTTTTTACTTTTTCAGTTTATAGTATAGGAGAACAAAAGTTTGAAAATATAAATCAAAAAGATACATATTATATGGAAAGTGTACAATATCAATGTCCACCACTAATGGGAAAATATTGTAAAGAAGAAGTTGAATTTCAGAGAAAAGCTATAATGCATAATTTAACAACACAATTTTCGCAAACATAACAAAATCATCAATAATTTAAATTATTGCAAGTAAATTATCAATAATTTAATTACAAGATCTTTGTATTGTATGCATGTATTTATATTGAGAAAATATAAATTTCTTTATTAAAATAATTCATAAAATGTATTCAGAATGGTTTTAAAAATTATTTACATAGCCTCAGTAAGCATACATATTTTTAATGAAACAAGATTTAATGAAAATTAACCTTGCTTCAAATTAAAAGAAATCGCTTATTGAAAAAATAAGTATGTATGTAGTTATATTACACTATATTAAATAGATTTAAAAAATATTAATACGGTGTATGTTAATTAAATGTATGAAAAATCAAAATAATGCTCAAAACTATTCAAATTTAACAAGAGACGGATCGAATGGTTGTCCTTTAAAAGGGGAACCTTCAACATCCCAAGCTTGCTTTAATAAGTCGCGATTCTCAATATCTCGGGATGTTGGTAAACCTAACATTTCCTGTTGATGATCCCATTTAAGTCTTTGAATTGTAGCCTGATCCTCTTGCGGTAATTCATGTAATTCTCTAGAACAATCCATTTTACTCAAATCGATTGAATCTTCTTGTAACAATAATTTATGCCACCAACATGATTTTATTTTATCTAAGTTAATTTGCAATTTCTTTTCTGACATACTCCATACGGCATCGTTATTTTTACATTTGCCATAAAATTTTCCTTCTAAAATTATTTTATTTGATTGTTTATTGAATATAACTATTTCATCACTTTTTATAGTTATTTTTAAATCTTTCGATGATGTAATATCGGATGGTAAAATAACATGAATTTCTATGTCGTTTATAGTTTGAGACCAACAGTAATTGTTAAATTTGGCCCCATTATGGAATTCATTCAATTGAAAGCTATTAGTTTGTTCTGTTTGTTGTTGTTTGGATTCATCTACTTGATCTTCATCGATATTCATTTGGTTAATATTGACATTTTCATCAACTGAACTTACTATTTCCTCGGTAACTACCTCAACTTCATTAGTAGCTGAAGGTACTTTATCTATATGATGTTCCGTATTAGGTTCAAATTGTTTAATCACCTTAAATTTAAAAAAGTTTAAAAAGTTTTTTATTTAACAATCATTTATAACACTTTATAATATTTATCTATTTAGTGCATAAATAAAATTTTGCACTAAAAAAGTAAAAATTTCAGTAATATGTAATATAGTAAGGAAATCCTTCAGATATACAGATTATTCCAAATGAATTGAATATTCATTGTTAAAAAATTTTATTGTATTGGAATAATTTTTGTCCCTGTTTCTTTTTGTTGGAAAATGGCCACCCTTATATACTAAGTGCTAGGAATTCAACTTACTTTTAACACAAGTTGCTCTTTGAAACCTCTTGGAAAACCTATATTATCTTCTTTAACTTTCATTTCATGATAAAAATCCGTGCTTAAAAATTAAATGTTTTTATATAATTTTCTTTTTATTTCAGTTTGTTTGTTACCAGCGGGCCAGAAATCCAAATACAGATTGTAAAAAGCCAACGACTGTTTGTCTTTCTTGCAAAATTTCCATTAATATTGTGTCATGTCTCTGCGTGTTCATATTGAAAATTATTGAAATAACTTTCTTAATTTAATATTTATTACAAAAATTTGTTTAAAACAATTTTTTTTTAAAATTTGATTGATTCCTAATTGTTTATAGCATCTTAATATTTAAAAACAAAAATGTTATGATTTTGACAGTTGTCAAATTTTTCATTTGAGTCGTCAATTTTCAAACAAATATTGCATTATTGGCACAACAACACAATTATGGTGATAACGCAATATTTTTTCCATTTCTAATGATGCATGAGAAAACTTACTCAACTACAAAAATATATTTTTATTCGCATTTTATAGCCAATAATAGTTCTGTCCAAGATAGATAATTCATTATAATATATTATAATACATTATAATGAAACTTATTTAAGATAGAAATGTGACAGCATAAAATTGAGAGATATAAATATTTATCGTGGCAGGTAGATATTATTGATTATGTTTTACACAATAGGTAAAAAATTAAAAATTATAAAATAAGCTTACTGAAAAATAAAATTAAATACATTATTCTTTTGCGGTGAGACAGAACCTTATTTTGCAATATATTTATTTTAATTAAACATAACCTCATGTAAAAATTGGTATCCGGTTTTTAGAGCTGAGGAAGTCATGCAATTCTTAGTTTTGCAATTATTGCTTGATTGTAAAATCAGTGTGCGCACATCTAAGCAACTAAACTGTTTCGTCAATTCAAATCGATTACGTTTGCTAACAATTCCAATCAGTTTGTAAAAAATTACAAAATTTTTGATTGTTTATTTTGATTGATACAGGTGAAAGTGTGTGCGCTTGAATATGTTTGTGGAATACAAACAGTTTCAAAACTAAACATTGCATGTCTGGCTAGCTTAAAGTACTTAAAATACTGAATTTTATCTTTAAGTAACGAAAAAATAAATTAAAAAAAACATGGAAATTTTAATATTATAGGAAATTTTATGATTTTTTGGTAATTTATGTCTAAGTCACTTGGTTATAGTAACTTAACGATAAATTACCTCACATTTATAGTTGAAGAAATATATTGAGAGGAAAGATTATATGTGCAGAAAGGGTTAATTCTACCAATTTTGCTTTTATATTCATTTTTGTTAAAAATGTATTATCCCAGACAGTTTGCATGCAAAAACTTTATAAAGTTTTTAAAAACTTTCTTATTACAGACAGACCCCTATAATTCTAATCCTAATTGCACAAATCACAAATTTGTTAATAGAATTGTAAATTCAATGTATAAAGCCTGAATAAAAAATATTTTTATAACGCTGTTAAATATGCGCAAAGGTGCTTAATGTGATATTGAGGTATAGGTGTACTTAATAGATTTTCATTTTAAAAGTTCATTTAGTACAAACACAGCTTTACAAAATTTATTTGTTTTCCTTTAAAATTTTAAAGTAAAAAATAGTTACATTTTCTTTCAGTTCATTTCATTCATAGTTTATCCTTAAAATAGTTTTTGATTATGAGCAAATATTTATTGGACAATATATTATTTATCTTCATATTGTGCCAAAATAATGTTACATTTTATAAAAATTAATATCAATGTGGAAATTATATAATTGAAAATTGAACAACTTAAAAATTTTGATAACAATGAAGGATTTAGAAAGAAATCCAGGTACTTCAGGATATATTAAAAAAAATAAGAGATCGGTAGGGCCAATATGTCGTGGAAATTGTGAAAAAATTAAAGGAACAAAATGTTCAACTTTCACTGAACCTCAACGTTTAAGAATATTTGAAGATTTTTGGTCAAAAAATTATAAAATGAAAGATCGTCATGAATACTTGAACAAGTTGATTGATAATTTGCCATCGGAAAATGGAATGCCCATATATAGTTATCATTTGATGCTAGATAATAAACGTATACACGTTTGTCGAGAAATGTTTCTAAGCACTTTAGGGATTAGTATTAAAATGTTGAAATTTCCTAAAGAAAATAGCAAAAATGTGAAGATGAACTGCCAATCAAATGTATCCAATTCTAGTTCAGAATCAGATATTGACATTCAGTCAATTTTAAATGACGAAACTTCTTCAGAATTTAAAAGTCCAAACCCAATAGTAAATGTAAGTGGCAAAAGAGTAGCTTGTACAAGAGAAATTGGTATACAATGTAATTTACTTAAAGAGTTATGGACTGATTTTACTTACCAGTCAAAAAAAAAATTTTCTTTTTTTGAAAATTTTTTAAATACAGTATCTTTATCTAACAGTAGAAATCAACAATCAGACAGAAACATTTTTAGTTCGAATAAATTGAAATCTGGATTTTCAATTCCTCTGTCATCGTCGGAAGCTTATTCAGATTCTTATGCTGACAATAAGAGTTCAAGTGCACTTGAAAGTATTCCAGACACATTAGGTTATCAAGATGATATAGACACATTAATTGAAACTGTTCTAGAAACAGAATCTAATTCTGATGCTGAGGAATATTATCAACCAAGAGTTAGTAAAACAAAATTTTCTAACAATTATGTAAAACTTTCAAATGGTTTTAAATGTCAGTTTTGTAAGAAAATATTTCGATTAAAATCGGCTATCCTGAATCATTTAAATTCGTATTTATGCCACAAAAAGTTAAATAATGATCCATTTTCATTAACGAAAAAAAAGTTTCTTAATTCTAATTATAGAAACTCATGGAAAACCAAAAAACGAATTCAAAACTTAAGAGAAAAATTCGAAAGTAAAATAAATATAGAGACGCAGCAGAAAGAGGTGAAAAAGAAACTCAATACTAAAACATGTCCAATATGCTCAAAAAGGTTCATGACAGAGCAATCAGCTATAGATCATTTTAATACACATACGAAAGAAACTCCTTATGAATGTTCTTGTGGAGCAAAGTTTACACATCACAAGAAATTCATTTTGCATTTATCAAAATTTCTATGCTCCCGAAATGGCGCTGTTACAGCTGTATACAATAAATCAGAGAAAGGAGATATCAAAAAACAAGAGCTTGCTCCATCAGAAACATTCTATTGCAAAATATGCGACATTGATTTTTCGGAAAGTAAATGTGAAAAGCACTTTTCATCTGAAAATCATTTGCAAAATGAAAATGTATGGATTAGAAAATATGATATTAGGAAATATACCTGTTTAGAATGTAAAATGAATTTTGAATTGTTACTAGAATTGGTTAGGCATCGAGTAAAAAAACATCACAAACGAATCTCGTTTTTATTTTTTGAACGTTTAGAAAATTTTAACTTAAAGTATTGTTATATCTGCGACAAATCTTTTGTTAAAAGGATTAATTATTATGATCATATGAATATGCACAAAAAAATTTATGCTTATGCATGTTCTTGTGGAAAAAAATTTCAATCTTATAATTCATTAGTATATCATTCACAAAAAAGAGGTTGTCCTGTAGAGGGCCGTATTCTTCCAAATTATTGTCCAACACTGCATTCGACGAGACCTACAAATAGCGTCAGATCAATAAATAATACGACTGAAGAGGAAACTGAAAATAAAAGCAATTATTTAGAACCTAAACGAATAATCGATAAAACGGCAAAAATACCTAAAGCAGGAGAGACTTCAAAAGATAATATTTATCAGAAAATAGAAAATAATGTATCCCACACTAGCATTATTAAAAACAATAATTTAAATAATCATCCACCAATTATATATTATCCACAAATATTTAACAGTGAGTGCGTTTTAGATCAAAATCAAATTATAAATGTACCGGGACATCAAAATAATCACATAATTCCTCCACAAATTATGCCTGGAACAGTATTTGTATATGAAGCGATTTCTCAGCCAAATGTCTATCAAATACCACAAATTGTAAATTTAAGTGATATTGGGCAACCAATGCAAATCCCAATTAATTCAACAAACAATACAGTTGAGCCTACAAATTTACCAACGAGTTCTATTGATTTTGATCCAGAGTTCAACAATATGATAAAATTTAAAAACTTTTCAACAAATGAGAAAAATTTAATTATAAATCCTGAACAAATACCAGATCCTAAAGAGAAAAATATCAATTCCGAAAATAGAATATCAAATTTTGAAGAAATACAAGAAGCTCCTATCATTATTTCTGAAATTGAATCTAGCGATAATAATGAAAAACAAGATAATAATGAAAAAACTATTAACGACATTCATGAAGAACAAATATCAGGTGATGAAATTGACCCAAATGAAAGTAATGTAGAAGATGAAATGAGTATTTCTACTAATGCTTTATCTCCAAATAGAAAAAATAAAACATTTTATTGTGAACTTTGTAGACTAAATTATGCTTCTTCTTGTGCTTTAGAACATTTTTATGATATTAATCATCGAAAACTTGAAGATGAATGGCGTAAAACTTTCAATATTTATAGAATTACATGCCCTTTATGTCCACGTACAACATTTGATAAATTTTTTGGATTAATTTGTCATCAATATAAGGTACATCGTATTAAAGTGGATAAATTATTTTTTAAAAAATATAAGGAATCATATGAAAAATTTAATAAAGTTTAAATATAACTTTTCACAGAAAAAAAATAAGAAAACTTTAAGTTAATCACTAATATAATTTTTTGTTTATAATATAATTCATTTAATTTTAATAATTTCATCTTTAACTACTTATATGCATATAAAATCAAAAAATTTCATTATTTTTTCTCTATTTCTTTAATACTTTCTTTAAGATGTTTTTATTTATCAATTCTTCCTAAAATATTGTAAAAATTGTTTATATTAAAAAAAATATTCAATTTTTTTCCATTATTATATTAATTTTAAAACTAATTTTATAACTAAATAATAACTTTTACACTGCAGAATACTTAAAAATCTTCTATTTTTCTAAAACACTTTTATAACACCCTCGCAACTTTTTAATTGACTCAATCTAATAAAATCAACAATTAAATTTAAGAAAAACGAAAAGTGATTAGAAACGAAAGAAGTATTTTGGTTCAGTATTAAATAATTGGATTATATTTGGTTAAGAATTATAAAATTCATTGAAATTTAAATAAAAGTTGAAAATAAGAGGAAGAAAATATAATTTTTATTTCCATTACAATTTTTAATATTTTATATTGTACTTAATATATAGCAGTATTTTTTTTTTTATTAATTTTCACATTATAAAGTATTTTATTTTTACATATTTTTTTTATGTAATTAATTTTTTTTTTTTCATATTTATTTAAGAACAAATTGTTTACTAACATGTAATTATATACAATAGTAATTAAGATAAAATTCGTTTTATAAATATATGTATATTATTTTTAAATTTGTTTTCTTTTATAAAATAAAAATTTTATTTTATTTTGAATATTATGAAATTTTCATTTAAATTATAAATAATATGTATTATGATTACTTAATAATTAAAATATGATATTTTTTGAAAATAATTTTATTTACCAGCTTCATTCATATTTTTTGGTATACTTAATAATGAATTTATTAATTCAGAATTTCTTTTTGGCATTTGTGGTGTTAAATAATTCATATTACCACCATTTGATGTTAAATATTTACATGGATTATTTGATGCAGATGGATCAATAGCAGCTAACCATGCTATCAATTCTCTAGCATACTATAAATGTGAATAAAAAAAAAATATAATGTAGTCATTAAAAATTTATTAATATTAATTTTTAAAATAATTAAAAAATTTTTTAAGCAAGTGACCCAAGTCCATTTCAGTCAAAAATAGAATATTGCTTTGTTTGTGTTTAAAGTAACAAAAAATTCGGTTAAATGATTATTTTCTTTATAGAATATGTATTTATTTTCTTATCCGATAACATAAGTCTCATTTCCAACAAAGTAATTTACATTAATATTGCTTTGGAAATAAAAGAGTTTTGTAATCGCAAAAGAACTTAGGTCACTTCCAAAATAAATCACACAAATATTAAATGTGTTACGAAACATATTTTTTGCTTAATAAAACAAAATCACAATTAATATATTAAAAAAAATTCGAAATATTATTTAGAATTTTTCAATAATTTTAAATTATACATTTTATTAATTTTTTAAAATAAAAACTTAAAATATTAATAAAAGTACTTAATGAATAAGAAAATATAATTATTAAATATTAATAAAATAATTGATTAAATTTAATAAAAAAAAAATAGTTTATTATAATATAATATTACCTCTTTATCCAAATATCGTTCTTCATCTGGGCGAGGAAGGGCAACTACTAGAACGCAAATAATTGATAATATGAATAGTGTTGAAAATTTATTCATTTTTGTATTATTTTTTTTTTAAATTTATTTATTAATTTTTTCACTTAAAATTTTATTTTTATTTTTTAAAATAGATGTTTTCTTTAGTGAAATTCAATGATAAATGTTAACAATAAGGATCAAGTGATGCCTTTATATAGTAAAATATATTTTTATGTTTCAAATAAAAAATAAGTATACGTAGATAATGATGATATGGGCGTATAGTTTAAATATTATGTAATTACATTTATTTTTTCTGTTATTGACATAATTCGCTGAAATTATTGGATTTAATGTACTGCAAACGAATTTATCCATGTACATACATAATCTACACACATAAATTTTCGCTTTTTCACTAGGTCGTATTTGATATACATATGTACGTATTTTATTTATTAGAATTTCATTTCAAATATCCAAATAAGGTATAATAAATTTTACATACAATTTTATTTATTTATTCTTTTTTATTTGTTTCGAATAAATAAAATAAAATCCATTTTCAAATACATAGATCTCTTTTAGAGTCATTTACCAGGTTACCTTAAGATAAAATGAGAAAAATTTCTTCCTTTCCTTCTTCTTTTTCGACTACAATTGTTATGCACAAACGTATGGTAAAATATATATGTACATATATATCATAATGCAAAATATATGTATATGGTATTGATAATTTGTCTTTCACCTATAAAAATTTACGGTTACTGTGATCTGGTATTGACAGAGATTTAAAAATAAAATAAAAAAAGTACTACATTTATAATGTTCTTATATAGGGTATAGAGGTACCATGAGTAAAGATTCATCAAGCATAATACATATCATAAATGTATGTATAGAAATTTAAGTAGACATAATCTTGTATACGTTTCAATTATATAACTAAATAGTATGTCAAAAACATTAAACATGACTCATTAATAGTTCATATTAAATTGAAACATTTATATATTTTTGTTAAATTTATAAAATTTTTTATTTTATAGATTATATAAATCAAAAAGAAATCTTTAAAATACATACATACATATGTGTATATTAAACAAAAATATTTAAAAACTGGGATATTAAATTGTTGGAAATCGTAAATAAGAAACTAATTATAATCCTCATTAAACTACATAATTTCTTTAAACTCTTATTGGTTCAGTATTTATCGGAAATTCTTTATGTAAAGATCTTAGATTGAACTGAATTCCCTACGTTAATCCCCTACGTTAGTCGCTCCTAAATGTAGAATAATCATTACGTGTGTAAAGTCTTATATTAGCTTTAAGTAACTCGTGTACAGAATATTACTCGTCTTATTCTACGATTTCTTAAACTTTATGTCACAAAGACTTTCACACACTACTTTTTTCGTGCTTTGAACATTCCACCTGAATGTTTATCACACACTGGGGGTTGTTTAATTAAAATTTATTTATAAAATCTTTATATTAAAAATTTAACACGCAAATAATTGATAATATCCAATCAAAATAGAACAAACTTCTTAGAATTTATTGCGGAGCAAGCAGTATGTTGGCTTTTTGAGAAATAAGGAATGTTAGATCAATCTGTTTCAATTCGAACTTTCCATTTGATGATTTCATTTTTTATATAAATAATTTATGTATTTGATTTTAATTAAAATAGGATTATGTACATATTACATAATTTAATATCATTTTACTATTTCAAAATTTTATTTTGTTATTCTTTAATAAATCAAACACGAATTAATTAGCAAAAGTATATAATTATTTAAATTTTAACAAAAAATATGTATGATATTCAAAATGAGAGAGGATTATTAATTTACAAATTTTACTTGAATTAACATAAAAATTTCTAACTTATTTATTTTATATTTTTACCTTGATTAAGAAAAATATATATGTATATTTATTTATTGTAAAAATTGGTTCTAAAGCTCTATTTAGCAATTTATGTGTTGTAAATATGTTTTTTTGAACTTAAATAAATTTTTTTTTATTTAGTTTATTAAGAAATACATTTATGCAAATGTACCAAATCTAAATTAAACTAAAACAATATCTTAAAAATTAAAAAAAAAATTAAAATCAGAAATTAAACTTATTCTAAAAAAAATTAAATGAAACCGTTGTTTATTACTTATAATATATTGAACAAAGCCTAACATATTCTTACAATCTGCTTAAAATATAACGACTTCACAATAATGTAAATAAATATGTATATAATTAAATATTTAGCGATAACTTAAAAATAGGTTTTATAATGCTAAATTTTAAATTTTAATATATTTTTTTTTTTTGTTTTATTAAACTCAACTCTTTGATTTTTGGTTTACAATTTTGTTCTGATCAACTTAAAAATAGTTTTAAACACAAAATATAGTTTAAAAAATGTATAAAACAACTAACCGGAACATTTTATAAAGCAAAATTATATTTAAAAAAATAATTGTTTCATAAAATATAATAAAATAAAATTTCGATCTAAAAATTGAAATTTTTTTAATATTAATATAAAAATTAAATGTTTTTAAATATATATTATGTACGCACTTTATTATTGTACAATAACTTTAAAACACTTTATCTACTTTAATTAGTTTGAATTAATTTTTATAAAAATTAAGTGATCTTGGTGTAAAAGTGATCTTTTTTAAACATAAACGGGCTTGATTTGTCATATATATTTGATCTTTCGTTAAACCACAAACAGTCTTTTCCCATTTTGGATCTAAAATTTGTTGTTTTGCATAATTATCATCTACTATATTTAAAGTATTGTTAACACCTAAAGATCCAACTGCATGTGAATTATCATTTGAAGCATCTTCAGATGAATCTAATATTCCAGATTCACAAAGAGCACTGTCAACAACTCCAGAATCTGAGTTTAAAAATTTACTTGGTGTTTCTGTTTCATATGGTAGATTGAGAGCTGGTACATTATTGTCCCATGTATTCATTGGTAAAGATTTTCTTGCTTTCTTATTTGATGGATACAAATTTTCTTTATAGTGTTGTTCGTTATTTTCAATATTTTTACGTATGTTTTTGTTGACTGTATCATTCTGTTGATTATTCATTGAATTACTATTTTCATAGCTCGATGTTTCCTGTTCTTCGTTAATAATTTCTGCTAAATCTTCTGCCAGTCTATTGGGACTTGGTGGAATATATCTTTCACCACCACGTTTCTTACCAAGTGCAGCTAACGCATCCTTAAATGGTGTTGGAGTTTTCGGTCCAATATTCAATGAAGCTTTATGAGGAGTTTCTAATGACGATGAATTTTTAATATCTTCTTCATCCTTTGTTTCATTTTTTATGTTACCCCCGTTTAAGCGTTCTTTCGTCCTTACTGGAGTACTTGCTGAAAAATTCGTATCAAAGGATAAATTTAAACACGGAGAATTTAGTAATTGACTTGGAGAAAAAGGTAACGGTTTAACGGGAGTTACAGCTGGTGATGATTCCTCTTTTTTGATGTTGGTCATTTTGACATCATTTTCATTTTTAACATCGATCATCTCTATCGGGTTGTTAGATTGATTATAGGATTGCGTATGCGATTGTTCTAAATTTAAGCTTTTCTTCTTTAAAATATTGGGGGGACGGTAATGTAGCAATTTCGGACCACTCTCCGAATTATTATTGTTAGATTTTGCAGAATATGAATTAGTTTGTATATTTATGTAATGTTGAGAATAAGTATTACTACTGCCACCGCTATTTATTAAATTTTTCAAATTTAAACGACTATCCCTGTAATCATTCCCTACACGTTTCTCTTGATTTATTATTAAGTTGCTTTCAATTCGGGGTTGCTTGCGAACTTCAAATTCATATTTCCTTCGCATAGTAGAGTTCCAATGATTCTTGATAGCGTTATCCGTCCTTCCAGGCAACAATTTAGCTATTTTAGCCCACTGATTTCCTAAAATATACAATTTTCACAAAGTTTTAAATACATCTTTGATCGTTTAATATTACCCCATTGTTGGTGAGCTTGATAAATAATTTTGTCTTCTTCTTCTGTCCAAGCAGTTTTCTTAATATTTGGGTTTAAGTGATTATGCCATCGTTCCCGGCATTGTTTTCCTATTCTACCATTTAGATACCTCGCTATTAATGTCCATTTCTTTGGCCCATACCGTTTAACAAGCTCAATAACCTTGTCGTCCTCTTCTTTCGTCCATGGACCTTTGATCAACTCTGGATTAACCACTTTCGACCACCTTTGTTGACACTGAATATCGGATCTGTCGTTCATCAATTTACATATGATTTCCCAATTTTCACCATATTGGGTAACCAAGTTTTTCAAAGTAGCATCTTCTGCTTTTGACCAACGCTTAGAATTTCCAAATTTTTTGGAATTTATACTACTATCATCACCATCACCAGCGTTACCATCAGATTGCTCTAAAATTATTTAAAAATAATCTTGTTGAAAAGCATCGTTAAAAATTTCAAAATAATTTAAATCAACCTGAATAATCATCATCTGCACAGGAATCGCTGTCATTATTCATGGCCGTTGTTAAAAATTAAAATGTCAAGTCGTTTTTTTTTAAACCCAGTTCTTTCTTTAAATGTTAAAAATCTACGTCAACTATTCACGCACATGAACAATCAAAACATAAATTGATGAAAAACTTATTTAAATTCTAATTTTCGCAATTTTGATGTGATATTTTTAAATTTTCAGGCTTTGACTTATGACAAAAAAAAATCTGTTTAACTGACGGCTGCCCCCTTTTCTTCTTTCTTTTAATTTTCTAAAATGATGATGCCGTTGCGCTCTTTCAAATTACTATACTTCAAAATTTTGTTTACTATGGAATATACTATCTTTTTTCTAACAGTTACCAATTTTTAAGCCGTTTTATATAAATTAAGAAACTATATTTACATCTCAAGCAATATTAGAACATATTATCCTTTCGAATTTATATAAAATTTAGCTTGATTTATGTTGTTTTTTATGTTTTTAGAACTAATACTTTACACCTGCCTTTTTCTTTACCATCCAGTCAACTTAAATTTAAAAAAGTGATGCCGTGTTTTGGTTTAAAATAATTTGTAAATGTCACTACTATAAATGTCAGTACATAGTATTGTTAATTCGAATCAAAACTTAAAAAAATAAGTAAAAATATACTGTCAAAATTTTATCTTGTTACGGACAACAAATATTTTTGAAACAATTCATTGAGTTATAATTTTTTTCATACGCCGTTTAAAATTTTTCCTTTCTTATTACTTATAGTTATTGTAAAATTAACAGCACTTATTTTTTTCATAGAACATAGCTTTTTCAACAATGTACGTTCATTAGAATTCGAATTTTATTTCACAATAAACTACTTGTTCATAATTAGCATCGTTGCCTTTTTTGCCGAAGTTGTAATTTTATCTGCACGTGTGCAAAAATATAGAAAGTACGATAAAAGAAATTTTCCAAAAAAAAACTTATTAAAAATATTAGTTAAAAATATAAAACTAAATTACTAAAGTAAATTTCGAGAATCGTTCAAAAGAAGTCTTCATGTCTTCACAACGAAAGGGGAGACGAAAACAGAATCAAATGTCGTATTGAAAATTTGTCAGTTAAGAGAAGAATAAAATGTATGTTTGCGAAGAAATTGCATTATTTGCACTCAAATATTTGTCCAAATAAATCAATAAAAGAAAAGTATGTTTATGTGTCAGGCTATTAGATTTTTGTAAATTTTCTTTTTACGTGAATTTGTAATATGAAACTCAAAAGAGAAAATATTCAAAACTACATATGTTTAAATGAACATGTTCTTGGCGTAACTTAATTTTGAAACAAGCTTTTGATTTAGGTTTTGAGTTTCTGAGTACATTAGGTATCTTGCTTGTCGTAAACTATTATTTAAAAAAAATATTTCAAGTAAATATTTATACTTTTACGTTGAAAGCAATGTTTTTAATATTTGTAATCTACGAACTGCCAACAAAAATTTAAAAAAAGCATGCAAAAATCAGCAGATCGTGGCAAATCTTTTTAAAAATTTATTTTCTGCCATGTTATTTTTAAAAATCTGACAGGAAATCTGATGATAATTGGGTCATCAGATTGAGATTTAACCGCAGATTAAATCTAATCTGTAACAAGCTACTTAGACATAAATTTTTTTTTACCTTTTAAAAACATGTGTGAACACATACTTCATTTCGTATAGTTTGCTATACTAAGTTTAAAAACAGAACCAAAGCGGTGAAAGGTTTCCCTTGTTATAATGGAAAAGAGAGCGGAACGGCAAAATGACTAAATATTCTGTATTTTGGATATCATTTTACTCACACAAAATCAATAAGATATAACAGGCAGTAGCCTCAAAAATGGATAATAAAATAATTGTGAAGTTGCATTCTTATTGTGTGCTGTTCCATTTAGTAACCTAGAAACTATTTTTTTGTAGTTCGAAGTGCTGTATCATTGTGTTTAGGACATCAATATAATCAAATGCACTTTGTTATAGCAAAATTATCAAAGCCTGGGGTCTTATAATGTAATTATCATTTTTCTGAATACGAAAAATCGAATTACATAGTAAGGGCCCTGGACCTTTTTTGTCTTTAATTTATATTTTAATATTGCGAATATATTGCTAACGAATTTCTACCAGTAGTCTGGTGCGCGAAATAAAGTTGCATCTTCACAGCAGAGTTCTTACCATGCAATTCGATTTTCGTTAAGCGATTTTCGTATTTGCCGAAATGGAAAGAAAGAACCATGCAAATTAGTGTTATCTCACGATTTTTCCGAACACGAAAATCGAATTACACCAAGATTATTTAATAATCCTGAGTATTTTAAACTAGAAATTGTTTCCGTAAGGTAGTACAATAAATTTAATTTACCTCATAATATCACATGTGAAACCATTCATGTTTTAATGTTAAAAAGAAGTCTTTAAATTCTAGATAATATCAATCGTTTCTTATTTTTCTGTCAGCTGATGCTAGTGTCTTAAGAAATTTTAAAATTATTCTTTAATAAGAATGATAAAGCTTCCCAGTGCGAGTAGTAACGAAAAATTAGATTATTAAAGAGTTCTCCAAAAGTTTATTTTTTAAAACATTCTGAAAAGAATTCTGAAATTTATTTAAAAAGTTTCAAGTAAGTAATTTATTTGAAGTTAGAATTTTAAGATTATTAGAAAAACTAATATTAAAAAAAATAAAAAAATATTAATTATGTTTAAATGTTTTTAAATAATTAGATGAGCAAACTATAGTTGACAATTAATTAAGAATGATTCTTCCGTCACTTTTTTGTTTTCCACTCCATATTGTTTTTCACTCCATATTGGAATAATTTTCTCTTAACCGAAATTTACCATTACCATCACTGATTATTCACAATAACTTTGTCATTATCTGTTTTGTGAATTATAGCATTCTTATGAAAGAAAAAATTTTTTGTTGTACACTAAATATTTGCACGTGGTTCTTTAAATAGTTCGTCATTTTATTTTTGAGTACTTTATTTGCCGTCACTGGGTTAGCTGTTCATAATATAGTAAATACTTATTTTTCAAGATGCAGGATGTTGATGAAAAACTAATGTTACAATTATGTTGTGATTATTTGAAAAGTAAAGACAAAAAAGTTGCAAAATACTTAACGAAAAAATTTAACTTGGTAAATACCTCAATTTTTAATATTTACATATATTCAACTACAATAAAATAAAGATAAGCATAATATACTTAAAACGGTTATTGTAGGAAGCTTTAAAAGACAATGCCCCAAAACTTGAACAAATTATTACAGGGCATTTTAAACAAATGAATTCAAACAAACATCAAAATGGAATAAAAATTCAAAAAACTAATTCAAGTATAAAGAAAAGTAGCGTGAATATTGTTAAGAGACAGGGAATTGGGGCTTTTGTAAGACTGCCAAAGAAAGCCGAAGTACCTTCTGGTTGGCGTTGTTTTAATTGCAAAGAGTTGGGTCATCTTGCCGTAGATTGCAAGGGTTTAAAATGTTTTAACTGCAATCAAGATGGTCACAAAATCAATGAATGTAAAGAGAAGCTAAGTGAGAACCGCTTTTCAGGTTTTACATGTCATGTTTGTAAAGAAAAAGGTCACATAACACGGAATTGCCCAAAGGTAGATTTTAAGTGCCATAATTGCGGTGAAAGTGGTCATAGTTTTAAAGAATGCAAGAAAGAAATTAAATGTCAACTATGTCAAGAAAGTGGTCATACGAAGCGAGAATGCCTAAAAAATACAGCTTGCTATAAATGTAATGATAAAGGCCATATAGCGAGATATTGTAAAAATCAAAATAAAAATGAAGATTGCTTTAAATGCGGTCAAAAAGATCACCAGAAAAAGGAATGTCCAGGTATGGCGACATCTCAAAATAGTGAACCCGAAGAAGCCTCTGAAATTTCTGAGCAAAGTGATTAAAATATACATATGCGAAATTTAAATAAAATATGTTTTTTATTTCCTTACATGCTTATAAATTAACTTTACATTGTCTTGTTCTTTAAAAACAATGTGATGCTGAAATTAAAAAATTAATTTATGCTTTTAGACAACGGCTGAGAGAAATGCAGGCCTGGACCCAAAAAGAAAGTGGCAGTTCACAGCTGATAAATTTAGACGTATTGTTATGGGATCTATAGAGGGACTTTTAACATCATAAATTTCCCACAAGATTAGCTTGTTTCAAATTTTTAATTAGGAAAATTAAAAATTCAACTTTTCTTTCCTAGTGGTTACATTTTTAAAGTTGTGTTATTAAAACTTTAAAAAAAACCTTCCAAATTCCGTTCATTTTTTTAAGATTTCAATAAATGCTACACTACAGGAAAACAAATACATAGTGCAATTTTTCTAAGTATTTAGTTGATTTTTCGGTATTTTTCCATTTTGTATATGTATTTGGGAAAATATACATTTGATATTAACGAGTTTGCTAATTTTGTACGATATATCTCCCAAAATGCATACTTCTGGTATAATCACATTGTGTGTACTACATTAATTAAACTTACATACATATATGCTTCATAATTCATAAAAATTGCTGCATATGCGAATTCTTTTTATATTAAAAGTCCATATAATTTGTTTTAGGTATGTATGTGATTATAGTTTTATTAGGAATTATTTTCACATTATCAGAAAGGGTAATTCGCTAATTTATCTAAACGACCGCATTAGAAGCTATAGAACTTATAGAAGTTTCTTTATAATTTTTTTATTATGTTTGTTTTTATTTAGGGGACAACTTGAAACTACGCATATTTTATAACGATTATAAAATTTTAAAAGCATTTTCATAATTATAAAACTTAAAATCAAATAATTACAAACTTAAATTAAAATCTTATAAAATTTTTATTAACTTTAAATCTTGTATTCTAGACTAAAAAATATAGCACCAAATTTTTTTTATTTACTGTATTATCATTTTTTACTCTCAATTCTCTCAAATATGTTATCTGATATGGCGGTACAAAAAAATGCGGAATAAAGTTGGGTCAAACCAATGGTTTGTATTGTAGCACTTTTCCCTTCAACAAGTGAAAATACTGCTTTTAAATACAGTCTGTATATACCCACCACACTATTATAACTATTTTTATTCATAAACGAAACTATTTCTAGGATTGCATATATTTAGGATCATGCATATATGCAGTCTTTGAAATAAAGCGAAAATTAATATAAAATGGAGTTAACATATTGCTCGATTTTAAGGTTTAATTGTGTGAGTTAAGAAAAATAATTATATTTTTTAATGTCATGGAATTTACCGTTAACTTTTTGTGTTTATAGAAATTTGAAAAAGCTTGCGGTTTCGGAAATATAAGGTGTCAAAAATTCAAATTTTACAAACTTCAAGAGACGATAATTTGAGAGGGGGTGGAGATGGAAAAAATTTTCTTCTAACGAAATGAACTATTTGTTAATATCTAAAAGCCCCTTAAATTTCAAGATTAAAAGCTTCTACAGGCTGGGGTTTAGAAGAAAAACGAAAGCAAAAATTTGAAAAAAAGGACTTTAGATAACGGTAAATTTGAACGGCCATTTTGTTTTTTTAAAGTTTAACTATAGTACACCGCGCTAGGGGAAGCAAGCCACTGCCTTTCTGCGTTTGAAAAATTTCAAAAATGCTTATGGTTTCATTGCAACAAATAGTTAAAAAAGGCCATTTTTAGGGTTTTGGGGGGGAATAACTTCTAGAGGGGGGGAGATAGTTAAAAATTTTGTTCTACGAAAATAAGTTTCTAGTAAAGATCTATGTACATATAAAATTTCAGCTTTCTATCTTCAAGGGTGTAGAAGTTTTGTAAACAGACACACGGACAGACGAACGGACGGACAGAGTGAAACTAATAAGCACTTTTTTTCAAAAATTTTTTGGAAAAGTGCTAAAAAGCTCGAAAATATATTTAATCAAAATTGTAGTTAAAATTTTGAGTTGAATTTTTGGTATGTTGTTCAGAAAACTCCAAATTTCATGTTAGTATAAAAAAATTTAGGTTTTAGTCAACCTTTCGTGTAAAAAACTCGAAATGAAAATAGGCAAAAATCATAATTTTTTTAAAAAAACAACAAAAAAAAAATACATATGTCAAGTTTTAGATATTAATTTATACAAACGTCAATCTATTTCTATAGAAATAAATACATAGTTGTGGCATGGTACATGTTGTAATTCCTAAAAATTCATATTTCTAAAAAAAATTAAGCTGTTTAAATTATGATAAGGCAATTATAATAAACATGGTTAGTAACTTTTCAATTATAATAAACATGGTAAAACTAAAGCCACTAAAATTTGTTAACTTTCAACCTAAAGTCAGTTTAGTTATAAACATAATAAGGAATTAAGGATGCAAGTGATGTCGCACAAAATAGAGGTGCCAGTCACAAATCAGGCTACGATTTAATCTATGGTAAAATATGTTGAGCATTTTCACATCAGATTTTATACTTTTATGCTATTTAAACTTTTGGGAGCAATGTTTTTAATATTAGTAATCTATAAATTAGCAACAAATATAAAAAAAAAAGATGAGCGCGGCACATTTTTAAAAATTTGTTTTTTGCCATGTTATTTTTAAAAATCTGACAGCAAAGCTGATGATAATCGAATATCTTTCTATTATTATTCATTTTTTTGACGTAAAATTTCCATTAGAATCGTATATGTAGAACAAGTGCCTAAGAGCAATAGTTCAAATTTTAAATCTGCTTCTTGCCAAAGCATACAAATTGAAAGCAGATTTGTGATGTTAATATTGTTTCACTGTATAAAAATTTCAAACTGTCAAATTTTAAAGTATGTACTACTTTTGCATCTGGATCATGTTTCACTTGACGTCATTAAAAAAATATATGCAGTTGTCTAAATTTTTGACTTTTAACCAAAACTTGCGTCTACAATTAAATAGACAACCATATGAAAATTTTAAATTATTGATGAAACTGGCATAGCTTAATGTCAAAAGCTCATCATAACATAGGATTGCTCATAATTTTAAAGAAGTAATTAAGAAATTATATGTAAAATATATGAATTAAGCGAAATGAACAAAATTATTTGTATCACGTTAAACCACGTTCTTTTTCCGTAAACTAAATAAAAATTTTAAAATCAAATATATTTTTCTAAGGATTTTTAATTTTTTATTTTATTTTATTAATAATTCTAAGGATTCTATTTTTTACAATAATAGAAATTATTTTGTACGTCATTTGGCATTTCACTAGAGCTTTATCGCTTAACTATTACTTAACGAAAAAAAAACGGTAAACTGTGTCAATTATGAATAATTCCTATATGAAATTTTTTAAATATTTAAAAAAAAAAATAAGTCCTTTTACGAGGCCGTATTAAATTCAGTTATCCTATTAAAAATACTTTTTGTTTCTTGAGTTTTTTTTTAACAAAAATTGTGTTTTGCTATATTTTATGCATTGTGTGGAAACACATGTTTCTCAGTTTGAATTCATAATAATTTAAACTGGCAGCATTGGCATAACTTTTTGCGTGTTTTATTTTCTTGCCATCATTCTTTCTTTTCATATATCGGCGCGTTGCACGTGTTTCTATAAAAAAGTGTGTATGGTAGTCGATTATTTTAAAAAATAAAATTAAATAAAAATGGCACAGATAAATGACGATTTAATAACATCACTTTGTATAGACTTTTTAAAAAATAAAAATAAAAGCTTAGCTGATGTTTTACAACAAAAATTCAAAGTGGTAAGATATTTTTGTAACCGATTTTCTAACATTTGGTAACTTGGAGAAAAAATCAATGTAAAAAATTTGCTTTGATTAATTACGTTTGAATTCACTTGCTTATAATTTAGAAATAAAAAATGTAAAAACTTATACACATATTTTTAAAAATTCTTATGTAAAATTTAGTTTTAACACTTATGCCTCAACATATTTATCTACATATTTCAAATTTTCATGGCAAAAAAAAACGTGGAAATTTTTCATGTTACATATATTTAATTTAGTTGATTTAAGTAGTAGACATCATTAAGTGCCGCATAATGTAAAATTTTAACTTCTATATAACAATTAGGCACATAGTTAACGGATATGGTGCATTCTTGTCCTTTTGTTTATATGCATATCTATATATATATATTTTTTTCTAGCAAAACTTGGCAACTGACTCTCCAAATTTAAAAGAGATAGTCACAAAATATTGTGAGACCACAAAGAAAATCCCAAAATTAAAACAGGGTTCCAAAAATAAAGCAGCGCAGGAAAGCTCATCAAGCGAAGATAGTGACGAAGAAAATGAACAGACTTCAAAGTCTTTATTAAATGGATCTGACAAAAATGGCTTGAAAAAAAAATCTGACAGCTCTGACGAGAGTGATGATAGTGACGACGATAATAAAAATCAGACAAAAAATTTAAAGAAACCTTTAATAAATGGTAAACAATCTCAAGTAAACAAAAAGAAATCAAGTGAGGACAGTGACTCTTCTGACGAAGAAACACAACCATCTAAATTATCAACGGCTAAAGCTCAGCCACCAAATAAAAACATTTTAGTGCAAAAAGGAAAGAAAAAATCTTCAAGTGAGGATAGTGATTCATCGGACGATAAAGTATCCAAACCTTCGGCAAAACCGCAACCAGCAACTAAAAATGCATCAGTAAAAAAAAAAGAGGAATCTTCAAGTGACGAAAGTGATTCGTCTGAAGAAGAAACTACTAAAATTAAAGTTGCACAGCCAAAAGGTCAGCAAACTAATAAAACTGTTGAGGCCAAAAAGAAAGAAGAATCTTCAAGTGAGGATAGTGACTCTTCTGATGACGAACCTGCAAAATCCAAAATTGCAGCTAAAACTGCTACTAAAGCGAATATCTTATCCAAAAAGAAAGAAGAAAGTTCCAGTGAGGAAAGCGATTCATCAGAGGAAGAAACTGCTAAGACAAAGGCAAATTCAGCAAAACCTTCACCTACTAAGCCAGTTGCATCTAAAAAAAAGGAGGAATCCTCTAGTGAAGATAGTTCGGAAGAAGACCAACCTAAAAGTAAAAATAATAAATAAGTTTTTAAAAAATGTTTATTAAAAATTTTATTACTTCAGGTAAACAACAAATAGTTGCTAAGACTTTAGCACCCAAAAAACAAGAGTCAGAAGATAGTGATAGTTCAGATTCTGATGAATCAGATAAAAAACCTAAAACAGCAGCAGTCAAACCACTTGTTAAAAAGACGGCGTTGCCTTCAAAAGAAAAAAGTTCAAGTTCAGAAGATGATTCGGACGAAGCACCACCAGCAAAAAAGGCTACTTTGCCAATTAAAACTTTAAAAAAAAAAGCTGAGTCTTCAAGTGAAGATGACAGCTCAGAGGAGGATAATAAACCTAAATCTGTTCCAATAGCAAAAAAAGGGAAAAGTAGTAGCGATTCGGAGTCAGAAGAAGACGAAAAAAATACCCCCAATCTAAAAGCAGGAGTTAAAAGGAAAGCTTCTGACAATAATGATAAACAAAATAAAAAAGCTAATTATTCTAATTTTGTAAAAGCTGGGGAAAACCGTTTTGAGGTGAGTAAATAAACTACAAATTTCTTCATTGTTAAATTAGGAACTATTAGATTGAAATTCTGTTTTGATCAATAATTTAAACGTTTCCAATGAAAGAAATTTTTAGTGCTGCAATTTTTCATTAGACTATTCATAAATTTTTATAGATATTTTAATACAGCAGGTTAGTTTAAATATAAAAATATCAATTAATTGATTTATAATTAAAGAACTCGAATTCAGCTATCACATGCCGAAAGTGTAATGGTGTTGGTCATTTTGCTAAAAGTTGTACCAATTACAAATCAAATAGATCACAAAATAACAGTTTTGATGGCGGAATGAATAAATCTATGTGCTTTAATTGTCATCAACCGGGACATGCTAAAAGAGATTGTCCAAATGATATGATAGTTAAATGTTTTAATTGCCAAAAATTTGGTCATAAGGCTACAGAATGTTCAGAAGTGTTGAGAGATGACTGTTTCTCAAGTTTTAAATGTCGAAGTTGCAATAAAACTGGCCATATAGCACGAAATTGCCCAGAAAATCCAGCTGCTTGTTATAACTGTAATGAAACAGGTCATTTGGGTAGAAATTGCCCTAATTCGAGCCAATTTAAAAGAGCATGCTATAAATGCGGCCAAACAGATCATATAAAATCACAGTGCCCTCAAAATGATTAGAAATCAAAAATATTTTATTAAAAAATAAAATTTTACTAGAAATTTAAGATTTTGTTAAAAGCAAAAGCTCAAAAATAAAAAGGAAAACAATTGAAATTGTAACCAAAATGTTTTATTTGAAGAAAATATTATGATTTAAGTATTGGAATCTGGATTTTTTTTATGTGGCAGTTGTGCTATATATATGTAATCAACTTTTTATTTTCATTGGAAACAAGTTTTAATAATAACCCCTATTTTTATTTCGAATTCGCGATATTTTTTTTCATACTATGAATGGATGCTAAACTTCCAATTTATTTTGCTTTTCTTTAGAATAATAAATTAAACGGTAATGCATATCATAAAAATAATTCAAATCAAACCACTCCCAAAACTCCTTTTAGAAGAGTTCGTGAAGAGGAAGTTGAAGTAGATCCAAGAGTGAAAGATAACTCATTTGAAGCAAAGGTTTGTGTTTGCCTTTTTTTTTTTTTATATTTTTTGTTAATCTTATAGAAAAGAGAAGCAAAATAAATTGTCAAGCATTCACAGGATTCTCTGAATAAAATAGTTTGTAATTACAAAATGAATAGGAAAATATTTTTAATTGTTGAAATAATTTATTTTAATTTTCTATATTTTTATATGCAATTAATTTTTATATTAAACTGTGCTAATGCTTGTTTTTTTATTACTTCTCTTTTCATGGATTTATTTAAATCAATAAAATTTTCGTAACATTATCAAAAATAAAAGAATGATGGAAATGAAAATAAAAGTGGAGGATTTAATAAATTTAGAAATAATGATGGAGGTTTTAGAAATTCCTTTGGTGGAAATGATAACAAAAAAAATAATTGGAAAAATAATGATCGTAAATCTTTCGATGGTAATGAGAACAGAGGTGGTTTTAATAAAGGTTTTGGAGGGAGAGGAGGAAACCGTGGTCGTGCAGGAGATGGTGATCGTGGTCGAGGTGGTGGACGAGGTCGTGGAGGAGAAGGTGGTGGACGAGGTCGTGGAGGAGAAGGTGGTGGACGAGGTCGTGGAGGAGAAGGTGGTAACCGGGGTCGTGGAGGTCGTGGAGGATTTGGTGACAGAGGACGCGGTGGACGAGGCGGATTCGATGGCAATCGTAAAAGTTTTAACAAATCTTTTGATTCAAACACACAACAAAATAAAAAAATCGTGTTCGATGATTAAGAGGAATTTATGTTTTTATTTATAATATTGCAATTTTACCGTATGAAGTACATAATATCTTATACAAAACAAAAAAATTTGAAATGTTGCGAATTAATTTTATTATTATTAATATAAAAATATCACATATTTTAAAATATGTAGAAGCCCTTGCATATATTAAAAGCCCTGGTGAGTTCTTCCTTTAAACAATATAATATATTGTATATATGTATTTTTAATTTCAATAAACATGTTTTTTTTGTACAAATAATGATATTATATATCAATTATGTATATTATGTGTGTATATCCTTAACTTTAAAATATTAATTATTATAAAAATATCAATAAAAGTTTTCGTTTTTTTTATTTTTTCGTTTTGCAGAAAAATGCTTTTGGTTCATGGGGTGAAAAAGCCAATAAAGATCTTAAACATACTAGGGGAAAGTCATTTAAACATGAAAAAACTAAGAAGAAACGTGGTAGTTATAGAGGTGGCTTTATTGATACGTCAGTAAATTCAATACGTTTTGATAATGATGACTAATATAAATTACTTAAAATAAATGCAAAAATTAATTTCTTCTCCAAATTATAAATTTATATTACATTTTTTTTATATGTATTTTAAATAAATTTTGTAATTTTTCTTCTAAAGTGTGACTTCATCTAAAACTTGTATTTGAAAAACAAAAATATTTACAGATTCTTTATTTTACTTATTATATAAATGTACTACAACTGGAAAATTTATAAAATACAGATAATTCAAGTAATTATTAAAAACAAACTAAAATTTATAGTTGAAAATTAAATTTTAATTAAAACTATGAACAACAACAACGTTTTTTTTGGTTCATAATAATATGCAAAATATACATATACAAAATGAAATTAAAATTAAATTTTTAAGTTATGTTTAATCAATAATTAAAGAAGAATTTAAAAATAAGAATTTTAGTTTATACATACTTTTAAAATAATTTTAAAAATATATATTAAATATATATGTACAATTTATAATAAAATTCTTTTTGATTTTAATTTTATGAAAAGTACATTAATTGAAAAATTATTAAGTATACCACATTTTTATTAATAAGGGATGTTGTCTGTGACGGATTCGTCTTTTTCTCTGTAATATGCAATTACTATTTATAATATGGGAATTGGGTGCATAATTGAACATATAACAAAATTTAGTTGTGATTTTAACGAATTCCAAATTTTTATGTTCCTAAATTAAATGACATTGTGTCGATTCCTGAAATTTAGCATTGCAGAGGTTTATGTATTTATAAAGTCAATTTGCAACTAGGAAAATGCAAAAAAAACCAACATGGGCATAAAAGACAATTTTGTCATACCATTTTCTAGACAATTACTATATAGTATGTACATATTTACACAAATATATTTAGTAAAGTATTGCAGACTGCCATTTTGTATCTTCCAAAAAAAAAAAAAATTTCAAGTGAGGAAAATATCTAATAAATAAATAATTAAGAAAAAGACTTTATTTCAGTTAACATACATACATATGGGTATATTAAATATTTTACTTGCAGATTTGTAACATACTCAAGCAATTCTCAAATATCCAGTATTGCGCTATTATGCTTCTCTAATTCGGAATTAATATTTTTTCAGAATTTAGCTATTAAAAAATTTGAAAATATCTTTTAGATTTTTAAATGTTAATTTCCGTAGATTTTGCATTTTAGATTTATAGAGCGTGCTTTTATATTAAGACCCAAGATAGAACTGATTAACTGAATTATCGAAAATTCCATTCGCTATTATATTCTTGCCCCTTTTTTTTTATATAAATATATTTATGTATTTTCTTAGTGATTATTACATTCGGGGTAGAAAATACAAATATTTAAATAAAGTGTATTTTGTAAATTTGCAAGGGAATAAAAATTCCACAGCAACTTTTTATTGTTTTACTTAAATTACATAGGTACGTGTTCTTAAAATGTAAAATAAAAGACAAATTTTTTTCAATCAAAAAAGTTTATTTTAAAATTTGAAGAGTTTTTATTGTAATAAAAGGTACAATAAGGGCCATTTATATTATTTAATAAAAAGGTGAAATATGTGTCAGACAAAAAAAAATGCTAATAATTTTCTTCCTTTTTCTGTTTTTTTTTTTTTTTTAATTTCATATACCGTCTGAATACGGGTATTAGAATCAGTTCGGTTTTATTTGTAAAATGCTATTTTTTGTTTGTCCGTCTTTTCTGATAGAACATCCAGCGGTTAAAATAAACTGCTCAAAAATATTTATTTTTAAGTAAGGTATTTCTGGTTATTTTTTATTTTTAAATCTCTGTTCATTGATTGAATTTTTTGTTATTTTGTTCTAAAAACGTTCATTATATAAGTTCATAAGGTCCTGTCCGTACCATTAAAGTCCTTTAATTTTACTTAATTTCTTTCATTATTTAGTTGGTATCAGTTTTTTTTTTCGGTTGTTGAAGTCAAAGTTCCCGTCATAGATAATACAATAGTAATACATATAATCTTTTCTGTTTAAAAGTTTCTGTGAAAATAATAACCCAAATTAAAATTTAATTGTCTATTTAAATTATTTTATGAATAAAAATTTTTAGCGATAAAGCGTTTTAATTCGTTTTTAATACTTACACCATTTGAGATTTACTAAATTATTTTACTTACTTGTCACTTTTAATCCGCTTTCCTTCTCTTGGTTCTTCAGCAGTCATCACCTACAAAAAAAAAAATTAAATTAGATAAGGGAACTAACTGTGTTCTCCAATTTCTTGAATTTACTTTAATGCGAACACCATAAATTTCTGCCCCATTTAAAGTTTGTATAGCCATTTCAGCACTTTCTTCAGAAGCGTATTTGACATACCCACAATTTTTATTAGGCAACAGATAAACATCAATTAGGTTGCCAAATGTACAGAATACATTTTTTAAAATCATAATGGGAACATTCTTTTTACCAAAAATTAAAGGATTTTTTTTTTTAATTACAAATTTATCTGGAAGTAATTACTGTAAGAAAAATTTACCGAAGAAAGTACAATGAAACAACGTGCGACACATTTTGCATCCGCTCCAAGGGTAGGTTTAGCTGATGGCAAAGGAACACTGCAAAATGAATCTTTGGACAATTGATCTATAAAAATAAATTCATTATTTAAACTATTTTTTTAGAACATAGTGTTTTTTTATCGTACGGTTCACAAATTGCATGTCTTCGCAAGGATCAATGGAAGATAGCCTTACAATTAATCTTTCTCCTGGAGGATATTCCAAACCATGTAGTTTTTCTCTAAAAAGAGTTTTATAATAATTATTACTTATTAGACTTGCGACAATTAAGAGAATTTTTATTTTAAAAATACTTTGCATATATTGCAGCATCTTGATTGGTGTAAACTACAGTTGCGTTTTGGTTTCTTGGACCTCCAGTAAATTGCAGTACTATTAAAATACAAACTGTTATTTCGAAGTAATTTTTAAAATACATTAAAAACTTACACTCTCTTGTAATATGACAGTAGTCTAGTCCTGGAACAACATCAAACAAACGCCAAAGTTGATCTTGAGTAACTGCACTACTACAGATTACCTCTAAAGTGGTAGGTGAAGAATTATCATGTTTCATTCTAACAAAGCTTGAAATATCACTTATTAAACCCCCACTACTATTGTTATTTAAACCAAAATGTCCAAATCCCGAATTTATTCCGCCGCTCCCACCACCACCGCTATTACGACCTCCTCTTGAAGAATCACGGGAGTAACCTCCGTCATAATAATCATCCATTCCTCTTCCAGGTCTTTTAAGCGGTCGTGCTCTGCGATCTTCATATGAATCATTTGATCTGGGTGTAGCAAAAACTGCCTTATACTTTTGGGGACAATTTTCATAAGCTTTTGCAGCTCCAATAAAACTAAAAAATTTAAATAAATTTTTTTAAATAATATTAAATATACATAATGCATTTAATATACTTTTTATATTTTACGTATGCAAAACCCTTCGATTCTCTTGTTACTTTATCTTTAACAACGGTAACGAATTCTATATCACCATATTCTTCAAACTCACTTTGTATCTCTTCTTTTGTCATTGATTTGTTTACTACAATAAACAAACGCAAGTATCTCTCTTCTTCATTTTCTGATCTTCCTGAACCTGACTCTCGACTGAAATCAATTTTTTTATTAAAATCTCTTTAAATTTTTAATTGAGTTTAGTTACTTTGACGCTACTAATACTTTTATTGGACGTTCTTCATTATCAATTGTTTTTCCATTTAACTCATCTTGGGCAGCTGAACGCAAAAAATTGTAATTTATATAAGTTTTCGTTTAAAATGTACTTTATTCTAATATTTTATTGAGTGAAAACAATATATTGACTGCCTTCTATTCAAATAGCTTTCAATTAGATATGTTTTTTAAAATCTTATTGTAGATGAAAAACATTTTTGCAAAATAGTTTTAAAAAATTTATATGTAGTGTACTGAAATTTCCTTTTATTAAATAAATACTTTTGAACAAATGGGATGGAGTTAAATATTTGATATAAAAAAGCAAATATTGAATCAATAAAATATATAATTAAATGCGACCTTCAATTGACTGTACTATAAAAAAGCTACGCGTTCTATTTCTTTTTTCCACAAATGGAAGAAGTACTTAAAATATTTCATTTTGCTTGTAAGAGGTTCGTACCTATTTAAAATTGAACACTTTATTGTAACTTTTATCTAAGATAAAAATTTATGATGGAGCTTTTAAAATCATATATGTATGTAATACATACATGCATAGGTACCTAATTAGTTATAAATTATTGTACTCACCAGCGGCTTCGCTTGTCTTTGAAAATTTGACATAAGCAACTCCCTTATTTTCTCCTGATTGTTTATTTTTCACAATCCAGATGTCTTCAATTGTGCCATATTCAGAAAAATTGTTCCGAATTGATTCTTCAGTAGTGCTATAAATTTTTTATTTAATATAATGTGAGTAAAATTTATTTTTCTGTTTCACTGCTTATAAATTTTACTTACGTTTTACTACAGAGTACAAAAAGACGCGACATTGGAGGATCATCATCATTTTTCGGCATTATATCCCTCATTGAAATTTGATGACGATCGTATATTTTATTTTTCAAAATAAGAAACCCAAAACTATTCTCTTAAACTATATTAATTCGAATAAAAAAAGGCTGTTTTTTTTGTAATTTTAAAACTAGATTTCTTTAAAAATTGCCCTGTCCCACAAGGTAAAAAATATGTAGTCACCTAATTTAATTATTTTCTATTTCCAATGTTTCTTTTTATTTCTTTCTCAAAATATTCCGCTTGCCATGTTTCAAATGTTTCAACCAATAAAGTACAAACAATGCTGTTAGCATAATTTTAATTTTTATATATGAATTAAACATTGTTGATAAACATTTTTCACGGTTGACATACGTTTCATTGGCCTTAACCAAACAACTTTTAGACAAAGGGAATGAATCGTATGTCAAAATGATAAGAAAGAACACACGTTTAAGAGATAAAAATTAACTTTGTTTTTGAAGGGTATAAAATATTTTTGATATTATACTAATCTGAAAGCTGCCGTAATAAGTTGTCTGGGTAAAACTGAAAACCTTCATTTACCTGAGTTGAATTTTCAAATGCAATACCATTAGTATTGTATAAAATATAAAAGTGAAATTCGTATTGCAATGTAAAAATGACAGTGATAAAAACACAGGTTATGATGGTTATTAATACAATTTATACAATTTATTGAAACCAGACTTATTTAACAGACTAAGTAATTTAAATATTTTTATCTTCAATTTAAAATATTCAATAAATTTTGTGTATGTCAAATTTATTTTACTTTATTGATTCGAAAATGGATTCACTAGCGCTAAAATCAAATACTATAATATTATATACATTGAAAAATTGTATATTTAGATTGATATATTTTTAAAATATCTATAGAAAGATGTTGAAATTCAACAATGTATTACAAATTTTCTACAATATATATAACTTTTAAATATAACCATTATGGTATAAATCCATTTTCAACTATTTGGGTAAAATAAAAAATAAAAATATATTTTTAACATTTATATATTATTTAAATATATTTCATTTATGCAGCAAAATAAATATTATTATTATTTCTAAATTTATAAATGAAATTAGATAAAAGATGATTAATATTCAATAATCCAGAAAAGTGGTAAAAAAACAAATATAAATTAAATGTTAAGAAGATTAAAATAGATATTTTCAAAGTAAAGGCTGTATTGGAAATTTCAGTTTTCATGTTTAAAATGAAAAGTAAAATTTTACAACTTAAAAGCAACTTAGAAAATTGTATAAGAGTTTATCAACAAAAATTTACAATTAAATTCACAATTAACTTTAACCCTTAGAAATTTTTCATTAATTATTTAACATATAATTCACTTGTTTAAATGATTTTCTTTTCCCTAATTCAAATTTGTAATAGTTTTTTTCAACAAAATTAGGAATTATATTTGATATTTTCAGTATGAACCTATTTTCTTATACAAATTACGGCATATTTCTCTGTACATAAAATTGGTATAATGTAGTCATTTATTAAAATTGAATACTGAAGTTATATTAAATTCATTTCAATTCCCAAGTTTCATTTTATATAGAAAATGACGTATGTATAACTGAGATAAATAGAGTTTTAATATTAATTTATATATCAATCTCATTCATTTTGGGAGACTTTTAACTTCAAAAATTATTTTGTTTTTTTTTTTACTTGTTTTTTTTAATGTAGAGATTTTGGCAGCTCAGAATTTTCTGTGGATTTGGAAATTGGAAGGGCGAAGAAAATAATTTTTCTTTTAAAAGAAAAGCAATATAAAAAAAATTTACAAAAAAAAAAATTGTTAAAAAATATTTTTAAAAACAAATTAAAATAAAATAATTGTTAATAAGTTTCATTGTGTAATAAATAAATAATTTATTATAAATTGTATTGGAATTGATTGACTAATTTTTAAAACAATAAAAAGTAAGAAAAACGGTGAGTGAAAATTTTCTTTTTTTTTTTTTTTATAAAGAAAAGAAAAAAAAATCGAATGTATACTTGAAAATTTATTAGATGGAAAGCTCTCCAAATTTTTGTAGTCCGAGTTCCCCATAAAAAAAAAAAAGCTGGCATAAATTTTTTTTTTTTTGTCTCAACTTTTATTATAATATAAAAAATGTATAATAGAATTCAAATTACATAAAAATTAAAAAAAAAATTTTTTTCTTATAAAATAATAAAATATTTTCTAAACTTTTCACCATATTATTTCCTATATACCAATAAAAAACTTAAAATGTTTGTTCATATGGTTTTTAAACTTTACGAAAATAAGAAACAAAAAAAAAAAAAAATTTCTTTAATATTTTAAAAGTGGGTTAGTATGTCATTGATTGGCATCGTCGTCGTCGTTGTCGTCGTTGTCGTCGTAGCCGTTGTAGTCGTCGATGCAATCATTCAGGTGTCTTGTCTTTACAAATTTTAATAAATAAAAAATTTTTTTCTAAAGTAAAATTCTTAAATGAAATTTTGATGATTTGTAATAAGAAAATTTTAAATAGAGAAAAAATTTTATTATCGATAATATTTTAAACACAATTTAAGTACATACATAATGTAGTTAGAAGGTACCTTACTCCAGTCAAATTTTATATATAAAATATTTAGGTACCTACTTACCCTATGTAAAATATCTACATTATGTACATATTATTTACATACACATATAAATTTACAATTTTATTTATAATAAATCTATAAAATTTTATTAATTTTAATTTCAATATTAAATAAACAAAAATAAGTATTAAAAATTAATTTAAAAGTAGCTATATTTTTTTTTTTTTTTAAGAGTTATTGATTTTATGAATAAAATAGTTGGTATACCTAGGTATATATGTATGTATGTAAAAAATTTTTTGGTAGTTTATGTGCATATATATGTATGTACATATAATACATGTTCTGTTAAAATATTTTTCAATGTCCTTAAAAAATTTACAATTCGTTATTGTTTTTTTTTTTTTTTTTAAGAAAATATAATATGCAGGTTGGTAGGTAATAGGTACATATCCAATATAATAAGTATATAAAATTGTTCTATTAATTATACTTCCCTAATTGACATAAATTGTATATAACAATAAAAAAAAAAAATAAAAATAGAAAAAATTGTATAATATTTTCATACTAAAAATGAAAGTATATAGCCATATATATGTATAATGTATATATATAAATTTGTATAGTTACTTGTACACACATATTACATTGTGTAAAGTGTTTCTATTAAAAATATTATTTTATGTCTACATTTTGTATTTATTTTTTTTTATTTACATTGAGTAAAGAACAAGGAAAAATCTCAACTTTTTTTTAATAAAATATACCTATTTTACTGTCATATATTTGCATTTACATACATATGTAGGTAATGAATAATAAATAATTTACATACATATAAATGTTGGTAGGGCTAGGTGGCGCTAGGGTGATTAAATTACCACCATAACTTCTTTCAGTTAACTAACTATAACTAAAATTACTGACTAGGTATGAAAAAGTAAAAAGGATATTTTGTTCATATAGGTATAGGGTAGTTAGGTACCTATCTACCCACCTAAATATAAGTGAAAAATCGTTAAAGTTTTTCTTATTTTTTTATGTACATATGTACATACATACATATTTAAATTTTTTTTCCCTTATTTCTTTGTTTTTGCTCTTAAATATCATATTCAATATATGTATATATATTTTATTACATACACCTACATGTTAATAATGTAAATATGTTAAATATATAAATATGTAGGCACCTATCTATACATTACATTTATATACATAGATATCTAGCATATTTTACTTATTTATGTATACCTATTTATATACATACTTTAATTTTTTTTTTTTCTTCTTTAAGAAACCTAATTTCAACGTAAAATAACTATGATTGATTATTATATTGACAGAAGAATAGAGAAGAATAGGAGAAAAAAAAAAGAGAAGAAAATCAAGCATGGGTTTTTGATAGTATCTTTTTTTTTTTATTGTTTTGATTATTCATTAAATATAGGTAACTATCTATACCTAACTCTCTAGCCTATGTAATAGTTAGGTATATTGCATCCAAAAATGTATGTGTTGAAATATTTTTTAAAATAAAAAATTGTTATTTTTTTTTATTTTTGTATATTTGGTCAAATTATTAGCAATAACAAATAAGAATATTTGTGATATTTGAAAAAAAAAAAAATTATGCAATAAGTAGCTACTTACCTACCTATTTATCTATTCGTTCTTTTTCAACAATTCATAATAATTATTAGAGTAGATTATTAACAAAGCAGGTGGCCTTTTGTTTTTTTTTTGTGTTATCCTGTTTTTTTTTTCTTAATTTTATTTTTTTTTTATTTTTCATTTTGTTTTGCAATGGTGCTCATTTCAAGGGAAAAAATATGGTTAATTTTTTATTTATTTATTTTTGTTAACAAAAGAAAGTTTTGATTTTCTCTTGGAAATTTTGCGAACTTGAAATCTACTTATGTAATAAAAATTTTTTTTTTCTTGATGATTTGGTTCTTTTCTTTATTTTGTTTTATTAGTACTAGGAAATATTATTAATTGTTTACGTAATAATAAAGTTATTAAAGAAAAATTAATCAAAAATAATCATAATTTTCATTAAGTGATTTCTAAAAGATTTTCAAAAATTTTCATCTTGAAATGCATATTTATATTTTAATTAGTAAAATATGGCCTTTCTTGTTGTCACTATAATGTTAAGTGTCTTGAATTAACATTTTATATTCATTCTTATCGCCAATCACTCCGCAATCATTCCGGAAGTGATTCAATTTTTCAATTTGTAGACAAAAATAAACTTATTTAAAATTTAGTCTCTGTTTAATTCTCATCCATTTTAATTGGCCCTAACAAATAGGTGATGTGTCTGTTCCCCTATTACCTATTACGCACTGTTTTGCAACATTTGTAACCAATATTATTGTAACCTTTAAAATATATTATATAATTATTTTTTTTTATAAATTATAAAATTACATTAATTTTCAATTGAATTAATTTTTAATCATTATTTGAAATGTATGCTTCAAATAATTTGTTATCTCTTAATTTAATAGCTTTTACAAGAAAAAAAATTTTTTTTTAATAATGTAGTGAAAAAAAAAATTACAACTAAAAGAAAAAAACTGAAGTTTTACTTTTTTTTGTCTTGTTGTACTTTTGATTTTTTTGTTTTGAAAATTAATTATGTGCATATTTTGCATTCTTTACTAATTATTTGAATATAATTATACAAATTTTCATTTATTTATATTAGATTTTTAAAAAACATGTGATATATAAATTAAATATAATTTTTGATTTTAAATTCTAAATTTAATATACATATGTTACAAATTACAATATGAGAAACGTATACATAATGTGCATAATAATACTCTTGTATTACAAAGAATACTAAGTTTTTCTATACATATATATGTACATATACTTATTCTTCAAATTATTGAATGTAAAATAAAATTATAATGTGGAATGAAACCAAAAAAATTAGTTTAATATTTGGAAAATATTAACAAGCATAATTAATTAGTAAAAAATAAATTTTATTTGTGGTGCTATTAAAAAAATTTGATAATTTTATAAGTAGGCACTAGATGATTTAAAAATGTGTTTTTGAAAATGCATCAGTGTTTTGATAGTATCGTTTTTTAAACTACAAACTAAGTTTTACGATATTTACCAATTATAAAATACGTAGTTTTAATTTTACTGCTCCAAAAAAATAAAATGTGGGAAGATTTAGAAAAATTATTAAAGTAACTTTTATAGTTTCGTTTTTAAGTTCTTATTTATTTAATATATACATATGTATATGTATATACGTTTTAAATGCTATAGATCATAGAAAATGAAAAATTTAATTGAATAGAAACATATGATTATGGCAGAACTTCAACGAGAGCACAAAATTTTCTTTACTACAAGTAGCAACATTGAAGTTATTCTAGTAGTTTTTTTGTGCTGCAAAAGTTAAATTATGTTCTAAGTTAGAAATGCAAACTGCATTTGCAAAAATACCCAATAATTATTTTAAAAATGTATTTAGTGTTGTTTTAGTTTATTAATCAGAAAAAAGTTTAATAAATAATAGAATATCTATATTTGTAAAAATATTTTCATAACACTTGTTTTTTTTACTTAAAAACTTAAATATTCGACACCTACGCCAATATTTTTTTTTGTTATAAGTTTTTGTATGCCCATAAATGTTTCTTCTGTGACCTTTCTTACTAAAATTCAATTGTTACACAAGTTTTTGTAATGAATTCAAATGTATTTTAAAATTTTTTGATTGTAAATATATTAAATATATTGTAATAGATTTTTAAGTTAATATTATAAAAGATTTTTTTTAATGGTAAGAGTTTGGAATTGCATTCAATATGTTGCATTTTTCGAATGAATTCTGATGACTACACCATAGCATTTCTTCTTATCGGACTCAATAAATAATTTCATAATTTGTAATCATAAATAATTTTAGTTATGAAATGACTTTTTTCATGAATTTAATTTGTAATATTTCTAGAAATATTTGTGCCTAAGATTTCTCTAAATTTAAATGTAGTAAATTAGCTACCATACAAAATGATAAAAGTTATGCTTAATCATTTAAGAACTTATAGTTCTTAACCAAATGTACATTTGAGGAAATAATATGGTAATACGGTCAATAAGGAAAATAAAAAACAAAAGAAATTTTTATTTTAAAAAAAAAATTCTTTTATTTTCATTCGTAGTAGCTCAATAAAATTAATGTCAAACTCATTATATACATATTTCCTATTCGATTAAAATTCAATTGAAATGATTTTTTTATTAATAAAAAAATTCAATTTTGTTCCAATCATTTTAATTGTTTTTTTTTCAGTTTTCCTTGTTGCATTTAATTAATTTTTAACTAAAATTTTTGTTTCTTCAATATTAAGATGTAATATAATAACAATTGTATATTATTTAAATTAATGATGAAAAACAAAAATTCTTTTTATATTTTCAGAAAAAGACTGTAAAGACAGGAAAATTGTGTTGAACACAAAAGAAGACTACCCTAAAACAAAAAAGGAAGAGTAAAAAAAAATTTGGCAAACAAACAAAAATAGAAAACAAGAAACCTTGTATATTTCAATTTTGCGCGGAGTTATAAAAAAAACATTCAAAACGGCTTTCCCAATGAATAAAATGGCTATACCAAATGCGTTGCCAGCTGCAACGCCGCAAATTGAGCCACCACTATCTGCACCCAAGTATGGGACATTGATTCCGAATAGAATATTTGTGGGTGGAATAAGGTAATTAATAAAATACATTACTAAAAAAAATTAATTAATTATTATTACAATATACTTTTAATTTTTTATACTAATTATAATATTCGTATTTGTATTTTTAAGTGGAGATACTACAGAATCTGAATTATGTCGAGTATTTTCTGCATATGGAAATGTTAAGTCGACAAAAATAATTGTCGATAGGGCTGGTGTTAGTAAAGGTTACGGATTTGTAACATTTGAAACTGAACAAGAAGCTCAACGATTACAAAGCGATGTAAGTTATCAATTTCTTTTTTTCCTTTTGCTCATTTTTTGATTCCATATTGTGTGTATACACAATATAAATTCAAAATATCTATATATATCTTAAGTAAATAATTATTGTTACCTCTAAAATCTCTATTAAAAAAAAAAAAACAAAAAGAAACTTAAAGTCTTATAAAAATGATTAATTAATAAATTTTTGTCTTATATAGGGAACTTGATAATAATAAGAAATGTAAGAGAAAATTTTACAGGAGTCTTTGTTTTTTACGTTTACTTTTTGTTATTTAAGCCAATTCTGTAATCGTTTTGTTCATATAGAGTTATGTTATTATTTTTTAAGATATTTTGTTTTAATTCTGCTCTATAGTCCTTGTAAATATTTATATAAAATAAATAAAAAAAAATTTTGCTAATGTAATTTTGAATATTTTTTTAATTTAATATTTATTTATAAAATTTTTGTGTACAAATTTAATTGAAAATTTCTTATTGTGACCTAAATTTTAAAATTAATTGCAAAATTATAATTATTTTTTTTTTTTTTGCAAAATTATTTAATTTCGGTTTTTAATAAATTTGCAATATTATTTTCATTTATATAATTTCAGTAAAATTTAATTTATGAAATTTGGATTCAAATTGAGAATTTTGTTTGTTTTAGAAAAATTAAAAAATTAGCTTAAATTTTTTATTCGGAATTCGAAACTATGTATGTAGACTTAAGACACAAAAAAAAGATGAAAATTTTAAAAATTTCTAATTTTAATTTTTAATTTTTTTTTAAATGAGAGATTACAATAGCAAAATTTTAATGTATGTATATCCTCATTAAATATATATATTTATATATCACACTGTATATTTCAAAATTATTACTTCAAGTGTTTATTATATAATTGCTTGAGCTTGTAATTTTTTAAATATTGTAAATTTTACGTATATAGTTTTTTGTGCATTCTAAGTAATTTATAAACACAAAACACAAAATGAGGTTATACGCACAATTATATATTACATATATTATATAAATATATATATATCATATAATATATATTTATATATATATATATAGTTTTTACAATTTTCAAAAAACAAATATGATTAATTAAAAAAATAAAAACGCCTATTAAAATGCTTTATTGTTTTAAAACAGTCTAAAATATTTGTTATACTTGCATACAAAAAAAATATATATATTTTTAAATTTGTTTTAATAGATTTAATATTTTATACTTTTTTTATTACTTATTTTCATTTTAATATTCAAAGTTTTTATAATTTTTAAAGACATTTTCAGATTACAGAATAGTTTATATACATTTAATATTACAACAAACTTAAAATTTATTTTTAACAGCACTTTAATTTATTTTTTTTTAAATTATGAAAAAATTTCTTTTTTAACTATGTTCTTAATACATTTTAATTAGAATATACTAGAAAATAAGGATTTTCGATAATTCAGACATGTACTGAAAGTTCTTAATTGAATCTTTTAGTCTTTCCACACATACTTACAAATCTGTAGAAACTGAATTTGCCGAATTACATTTTTCCGATTTGTAACATACGCGAGTAATTCTTCAATATCCAACATTTTTCTATTATGCCTTTTTCTAATTTATAAAATTTTTGTAATAATTATAAAAACAATTAAAAATTTCTTTCGAACTTTAAGCTCAACTGTCATTATCGAGTATGCTATTTTTGCCGATTTATGTGCTTTATATTAAGATCTAAGTTAGAACTAAATTATCGAAAATCCCATTTTATTTATTTTTCAACAAATTTAATGCAACTTTTTTTTATCTACATAAAATACTACATTATTTTTTTTCTACATATAATATGTTTGAAAATTGTAATAGCTATGAAAGTACTTTTTAAAGCAGAGTTAAGATTTTTGTTGTTTTATTCTTTTTATTTTATTTAATTGATTAATTTTTCTTCCTTTTTTTTTCTTTAATGAATTATTTCCTTTGCACAAAATTTTGCAGAGTGAAATTTTAGAACGTTCTAAATGCGTCATATTTAATTAGCCATTCAAAATACATATTTGTTTATTTTGTTATTCTTTCCAAAAAAAAGTCCTTAAATATTATATATATATATATTATATACATAAATTTGGCAAAAAATAGACACACAAATTTTACGACATGCTATTTACCAAGTTAATTATTATTAACATTATTTTTTTTATTGTTCAACAATAATATTGTTGTGGAATCATTTGTAATAGTGATAGTATATATTATTTATATATATATTTACAGGGAGAGTGCGTAGTTCTTCGTGATAGAAAACTGAACATAGCTCCGGCTATCAAGAAGCAAGTGAGTACATACATTTTGTATTAACTGTATACTTAATAAATGTTATAAATAATTATAAATTTTAAAAATTTTCTAAAAATATTTATGTATTTTAGTCGATAACAACTGGTGCAGTTTATTATGCTCCTACACCACCAGCACCAATCAGTAATATGCCCATTGATCAGTTTGCCGCTGTGTACCCACCCGGTTAGTATGTTTTGCTGTATGATAATTTTATTAGTGCAGAAATCGTTCATTGAACTTAATAATATATATAAAATAAATAATATGTAGATATATGATAATTTATTTATCTAAATTTTTTTTTAATGTTTCAAAATTTATAAAATATAGCAGCTGGAGTGCCAACGTTGTATCCACCATCGATGCCGTATCAGCCATTTTATCAATATTATAGTGTGCCAATGGTAAAACAAATTGTAATATACATATAATTTATTTAAAAATTTTTTAATATATTTTAATTTTTATATTTTTAGAATGTACCCACCATTTGGCCGCAAAACTATCAAGGTAATTAAGAGAATATGTACAATGCTAATTTTGTTATTTAGAAATGTGCTTTCTTTTATTTGATTTTTGAAGTATGTTTATAAGAAAATTTTCAAATTGAATGTTAAATTTTAGTTAAGAAAAATATTATAATTATTAATTATTTTTATTTTGTTAAACTTTCTTTATTTGTTTTTTGTTCTTTTTTTTCTATGAAAACTTTTTTAATGTATTTAATTTATATAATTTTCTCTATTATGCATCATATTATTATGATTTAATTTTTGTACCACTTTGTATCAAGTATATATTTATTTACTATTTCAGGTATTTATCCATGTTAATTTTATGGAGACTAAATAGTTAAATATTATATTTTACAATGAAAAAAAAAACACAATTTTTTGACATTAAATACAAGATTATTAATTAAAAAAAAAAATAATAACAATACCTATTTGTTGTGCATAATTCTTTGAGGCTACACCAAAGATATTGGAAATATTTTTTTTTTGTTATTTGATAATTTAAAAAAAAAAACAAAAATAATAATTAAACACACAAAATAAATAAAGTATTTATATTTGACTAAAAATAACAAAAAGAAAACAAAAACTGCATAGAATTAATTATAAAAATTGGTACACAAAAAAATTAAAGAACAAAATAATAAGTATTTCAAACCTTATATTGAAAAGAAAGAAGAAAAAAACAAAACAAAATCTTTTAGATATTATACTAAAAAAAAACAAGTAAAAAAACATATTCTCATACAAAATATATATATAAAAATTATTAAAAAAAAATAACACTTAATTTAAAACAAAAAAAAAAACACAAACACACATAAAATTGTAATAAATACATAAATATTTATATATAATATTTTATCCTGATAAAAAAAAAAACAAATGCAAATCAAAACAATAGTAAAATTAATTATATAAAAAATACATAACCTACATTGAAACTTAAATTTTAATCGACAGTAAGCAATATTGAAAAAAAACAAGAAACATATTATTAAAACTAAATATAATTTAAAGAAAGAATATTAGCTAATTTTGAAACAAAAAAAAAATTAAGTAAATTTAGTAAAAGAAAAAGAAAATCAATATTTTAGTTCAAAATAATGATTATTAAATTAAACGAAGTAACATATTATTACTATAGTAAATATACATAATAAATATAAATATATATACACATATGTACTAAATTTATAATTAAGTAACAAAACAAAAAAAGGAAATCACAATAATATTATATATTTTTTTTGTTATCAAAATGCTGAATTGGTAATTTCTAAAAAAATATTATTATATACTTAAAATACGAATATAAAACTTTTTCCTACTTTATAAAGTTTTAAGATTATAAAAAAAAAACACTGTACTACTGAAATGTCATTTTTTTTGTTTTGTTCAATTTTATAATGTTAACCTTTTTTCTATATGTATAGAACGATATACATACATATGTAATAAATTTTAATATATAAGTGACTGGAACAGAATCCAAATTTTTCAAGATGTACCTAATTAAAAAAAATTTTAAATGCAGAATTCCAAATGCAGATAATGAATTTAGTCAAAACAAAAGTCAATATTTAAAAGTTAATGTGAGAAAGATTTTGAGATTAAATTTTACTTTTCTTAAAAATTATTTTACACTTAAAAAACAACGATGTTTATTTTCAAACTTTATGTATTTTAAAACAATCTTTATTGTTAATAAAAAATTTTCTCAATTTGTTTTTAATTATCCAAATTCAAAATATATCAATTCGCATTTAATGAATGATTAAAGATTTGTAATACCCTAATCCCCCTCCTTCTCAAGAGTACAGTTGAATTTAAATGAAAAATCGTATTTTAAGATTTAAAATAAAAATTAAATATAATAAGTGCTATATATTATTGTAGTACAATATTGAAAAAAAGGAGAATAAGAAAAAAAAAAATATTGTTGAATTTGAAAAAAAAAAAAAGAACAAAAATTGTATTTATTTATATGATATTTTTTAAATTATTGAAGAAAAACAAAAAAAAAAAATGATAAAAAAAACTTCTTTTTTGTTATCAAAATTAATTTTTTTCTTATAAAACAATGGTTATTTACGATGATAGACGATTGCATTTCTTTTGAGATGCACATTTTTATGTATATTTCATATAATATATATTACATTATTATATAAATTATAATATACAACTAATTATTAGAAATTGGATCATAAAAACAAACAAATAAATAAATTACAACTATTGCATTATAAATAATAAACGTAAAACCAATATTTTATGTATTTGTATACGTACAATATTATATAAAAGAATTAAAGTATAAAAATTCATTAAGAATAAATGTAAAATTTCGTAAAAAAAAATCATTCAATATACATTTTATATGTATATAAATATATTTGTTAAATATATATTATGCTAAACAAACAAAAAAAAATAAAAAATTTTTTAGCTATTAAGTTTAAAATATTACAAATAAAAACACTGTATATTATTTATATAATTAACATATAATAAAAAAAAAAAAAAAAAAAACAAAATTACATTATAGGAAAATTATTCAATAATAATAAATAAATAAAATAAACATAAATAATAGTTTGTAGAATACAAGAAAAAAAAATATTGTTGAAAAAAAATAAAATTAAAAAAAAAATAATTTTGAAAAGCAATACTACTAGCAAAATGCGGACATAAAAAAAAAGAACTGTATTAAAATATTTACAAAAACAAAAAATGTAAAAATAAATTGTATTTTTGTTATAAAAAAAAAAATGTCAAATCTAATGAAACACTAGTTACAACAAGGTTTATCTTCAATTAAATGGAATAAATCAGTACTATTGTATGGTTATACTTTTTGGTTTTTATGCAATGAAATTATTAATATTAGCATAAATTTTTATTTTTTCAACCTTTATATCAGTTTTTAATTTCATAAATTAAATTCGATTAATTTCATAAGTCAATAACTTAGAGAATTTAATGAAATCATTTACATTATTTTATAAAAATCGGCTTTATAATTTCAAAAATGCGTCGAAATGTAGAAGATTAGTTAGATTTTAATAACCAGTAATATTATATTAATATTATTATTGATAAAAAATTGAATTACATTAATTTATTTTTAATTTTTTATCAGTAATAGTTTTTCGATTGAATATAATTGGTTAACTCTCATCTTGGTTAATTCGTTAGTTTATCAGTATTTACTTACTTTATTACATAGTTTGTCGATTCATTTTAATTTTTAAAATCATTTTAATTTCATTCTGAAAAAAAATATTTAAAGTTTTTAAATTACAACAGCGTGTATTAGAGTATGCAATCAATTAAAGTGGCACCTTTAAATTAAATTATTGATTTTAGAATTATTGAATATCAAAAAAAGGTTGTCTCTTATTGGAGTCAATTTATATTGTTACTCACGAAATTTTTTATTTTAATTTGGAAGTGTGTAAATTCCAAATTTTACCAAGTATTCAATGACACTTTTATTCAATTTTTTATTTTTAAATTGAGATGAAATGGAATTGTATCCACTGTGGCGATCTATGAGTCAATATTGTAAGAATTTCTGTTCTGTTTTCTTTACAAATCGTTAATTTTTGAATTATTTAGTATAGAAAAAATAGAAAATTTTCAATATTATATAAAATTAAGTTTGGATTAGTTTCAAAAAACCAAAAAGTACAATTAATTTTTTAATATGTACACTAAATATCGTTGATCATTGTGATCTTATAGTTAAAGAAATCTCAAATTTAATAATTACACAGAGCATATAAATATTTTAATTATAAAAAAAAAACAAAAATCAACAATGTTATCTTAGAACCTTTTAAAAACGTGTTCCTTGTGTTCATTGGGTAACATTTTTTTTTTGGAAATTTTCAAAATATAAGAAAAAGATAGTAAACATCTTCCTTTATATAATAAAACAATATAATAATAGTAATGTTCATTGAAAATAAAAAAAAAAAGTCTGCATTGTATTTTATACTTTAAAATTACAAAAAGAAAAAATTACTAAAACAAAAACCAACAATTATATTGTCTATTTTTCTTTTTTTTTCTGAGTCTACAGATTATTTTCTGTATGCAATTAAAAATATTATAAATATAATTATAAAATAAAGCAAAAAAAAAAAAATATACAAGTCGTGATATTTTTAAAAATTTTATTAAAACTAGAAGAAAAACCTAGAAAATATTATTTTGAAAATATAAATATATATACATATATGTATATACATATATGTATATGTATATACCAAGGTAAAATAACTTAAATTATTACCAGTAATTAAAAAAAAAATTAAACATAATATACATTCATACATATTATTTATAAAATGAATAAAAATCAAAAGAATTAGAAAAAAAAATATTGATATTGATAAATGTAAATTTATTTCTTATTAAATTTATAAAAAAAATATTATAGATATTGTGCTATATTATAAATAAGGACATTATATAAAACCTATGTATATATATGTATTTATATTCCTATATATATATATCCATTGCATTATATATATGCATTGAAAGTAAAAAGAAAAGAAAATAATAAACAGACCTTTTAAGATAAATACTATAATAAATATAATATATAAATTAAATATAAAAGAAAAATAAATAAAAATAAAACAAATATAAAAAAAATATCTAAAACAATTTTTAAACATTTTACCTTTACTACTAAGAATATTAAATTATATAATAATATAATTTATCATTTAGAAGTAAAGAGAAAAATAAGGATAACAAAATTCAGAATCAATTTTCAAATGATAGTAATTAGAACCTCTCAATATTTGTATATTTTATTTTAAAAACAAAAATAATTTTTAATATTTCCAATAATTTTTTTTTTAATACATTAATTTATATTTCAATTTTAAATGTATAATACAAAAAATTTCTTATAATTTTTAAAAATAAATAAAATTTTCGTCAAATATATTTTATTCGATATAACAATTCTTTGGGGGGCCAATTATTTCCTTTTTCTAATGAATTGTTAAATTTTTTTATTTGTTTGAAACTAATTATCAAAAAGAAAATTATCACATTTACAAATTCTAAAGATAGAGCTTGAATGCAAGTTTAAATGATATTTAGCAAGTTTATATAATGGTATATAATGGCATATAATTTTTTTTTTTTAATTTTCTGTAAATTTTATTTTGACAATAATATTGAAAAAATGTAATTAAAAAGTAAAATAATGTTCATTTAAAGTAAATATATTTTTGGTTTTTTTTTTTTTGGACAAAAGATTTTTCCAAAAATTGTTACTTACAATTTAATTAAAATTAAATTGATTTTAAAATTTTATATTTTAATAATGTTTTTGTACGAATAATGAGAGGTGTGAAATATTTGTTTTTGTTTCTTAGTTGAAAACGTTCATTTGAAATACAAGAATTTAATAAATGTTTGATTTTATTACCAAATAAAGGCAGTCTTTAAACACAAAAAAAAAATTGAGAAAAAAAATTAATTTTATTTCAAATAAAAACTCAAAGTATTAACAATTACAATATTATTCGCTTTTGTATTTATTATGTAAAGTTTAAATAATAGTAAAAAATAAAAAAAAATTCATTTAGTTGTTATAAAATATTTTAAAATAATGTGACTATTGTTTCATCGTTAATTTTGTTGCAATTATTAAATTTAATTTAATTTTTTCGCTTGCTAAATGTTTGTAGTACGGTTGCATTTCAAAATATACAAAATGTTATATCTTAATTAATTTTTAAATATTTTTTTTCTCGCTAAAAATTCTTTTTTTGTCTATTTTTTTCATATCTTTCGAGAAATTACTATTTTTTTATGTTTATTTTTAATAATAATCTATCTAATCCGTCATATTAGACAAAATGCCTAAATTTCCCTATATGCACTAAAAATGCAATGGAAATACAATTTAGTAAATCAAGCGGTATCATTTACTTCAACAAATTCAAGTACCGAATAATAACGCAATATTTCATTACTGCTAGAAAAATTTGTTGTTGTTCCCGGGAGTTATTCTCTCCTAATGTCGATGCTTCACCTAAAAATAGAAAATCCTACGAAGCAACTATTTTGATGTGAAGATTGTGCATTAGAAGTTGCAATTGCTGAAAAAGGAGAATTGTTGCCTGTTTAAGCTGAAAAAGCAATTTTCAAATTAATACTATTTGTAATTTCGTAGAGCACACTTTTGATAGTTGAATAAGGCCAACTATTTCATGATTTCTATCCTTGATTTGCAAACTATAAAAATTATAATTTTATTTAAATGATTATTAAATTAATGTTACATTAAAATAACATTGTTAAATGACTATAAATGTTTCAATGGTATGTATTTCGATTATAAATATTTTCATAAATAAATTATTATTTGCAACAATTAAAGTGAAAACGATAGTAGCTACTTTTATTAAAATATATAAGAATACTAATTAGTAATATTAATACATGTCTTCCGTTCTAATTTACAAAACAAAAAAAAAAATTTAATTTAAATTTACATAATGTACAGTAAAAAAATTTTTTTACATTTTTCTTACTTCAAAATCTTATTTTCTTTATTAGTTTCAGAGTCCGATTTTGAATATGATTGAGACAATAAAATGAAAACCAGAGAAAAAAAAATTAATATGATTCTTTCATATTTTTAACAAAATGAATCAAAAATAATTTTAATGCAATTTTTTTAAACTCTATTACATACATTTGTAATATAATATATAATTTTACAAATATATAACCGTTAATTAATTATTAAAATAATATTATTTATTAAATAAAATAAATTTATAATGAAATGTTATGGAGTTTCTTTGTATACAAATAAAACATGTAATGTATATTTTATACATAATATTTTTTTTATTTGAATTAATTCCTTTTTTTAATTGTTTTATACTATTTTACAGATACAATAACGTAAATTGATTTTTTTTTTTAATTAAAAACTGCACACAATTTAATAAGTTTTTACTTTAAAAAATTATGCTCAAAATAAGAGAATATTGTATTAAAATTGTAATAATTAAATTTACGAATAAAAAAAAAAAAAACAAATTGCAAAAATAAATAGTATTGACTGCCGAAATTTTGGATTGATTTAAGAAATTTTTTTTTTCAATTTAAACAAAATAAGGATGCATGTATAACAATTTCGTGATCGTTATCATATTATGTATATTTAATATAAAGTGAATTAATATTTGATATTGATTATATAATAATATTATATCATTTAAAGGTAAATAAACAAAATATATATGAAAATCAAACAAGCTAATAAAGACTTACTTTTTTTCTATTTTTTTTTGTTGTAAATATTAGTTACATTTTAAAAACTAAAATAAGTTATCGTATATTAAATTTTAGAATATTATTGCTTTATATTATTATACATACTTATAGATTATAATGGTGTTAAGTTTATGATTGAATAAAATTTCAAAATGAAAA